GAATGCCGCCATTGTCAGACTCTAGAAACTGTGTAATGTGGTCTCCGAGGTCCATCCGCTGGAGACCTGCCGCGGCGAGGATGATGCCGGTCAGGTCGGGGTCCTCCTCGAGCTTGCGTAGACGGGTCTGGATGTTTCCTCGGTGATCCTTGAACTTGAGCGTCGGGTAACGTCGAATCAACTGAGCAATTCGCCGAACGCTGCTGGTGCCGATGATGCTCCCGTCCGGCAGATCGGCCAGAGTCTTCCAGCCGTGCTTGTCCTGCAATTCCTTCTTGATCACGAGTGTATCTCTCGGGTCCTCGCGGGACGTGACACATCCGAGAACGCAACCCTCGGGGAGAACCGTCGGCATGTCTTTGAGCGAATGAACAACAATGTCGAGCTCCTTGTTGACGAGCCTCTCCTCGAGCTGAGACGTCCAGAGGCCCTTTCCGCCGAAATTGTAGAGCGCTGTGTTTTGGTCGCGGTCGCCAGTCGTTGTCATGCTGTGGATGTTGAATTCATGATCGGGAAAGTTCTTCTTGAGCGCATCGACGACGATCTGGGTCTGGGCGAGTGCAAGAGGCGACTTTCGCGTGCCGACGTTTACGACGCGGTTTCTCTGGGATTCGGCCATGATTGTTGATTGACGAGTGTAGGATGACGGCTCGTACCATGGAGGGGCAGGCTGTTTTCCTCCAAATATGGTGGGGCAGTACAGTGCGGGGTATAACACTGGAGCGTGGATAACTTCATGATGTAAATGTGGGTGTTGATCGTGATCTCGACCCGAATATGACGAGTTACAACCGTCAGTAACATGAATAACCTTAATAACATGCAGGACATGGGACATGAGCAGCGGGAAGTGTCGTCTTGAGTAACGTTTTTATGTACGTGCAACAGATATTCGCGAGACGAGGCAGGTAGAGAAACAGAAGAATAGATGGACGAGGAGACAATGAAGAATGGATAAGAGTAGGACAAAATGGCTGTATAGGAAGCGTGACTATATAAGAAGAGACAACAACCAGTTCAAATCATCACCATCAACACTCGTTAATATGAAGCTTCAACTCACTATCCTTACTCTGGCCGTCCTGGCCTTTGCAAAGCCTCAGGCGCCTCCTGATCCAGCCCCTGCTCCCCCAGACCCTGCTCCAAGTCCTCCTTCAACCTCTGAGCCGCCTGCTCCTCCTCCTGATCCCCCCGCTCCGGCACCTCCAGCTCCTCCTCCCGTCCCTCCTCCGGCTGATCCCCCGGCTGATCCTCCCGCCGAACCGTCTCAACCACCTCCTCCACCTCCGCCGCCTCCTCCGTCCCAGCCTGCACCACCTCCGTCCGGACCAGCTCCTGTTCCTCCCCCAGCTACTCCGGCCCCAGCTCCTCCTCCGGACCCAAGTCCCCCTCCGCCGCCGAGTTCAACCGCTGAGCCTCCTCCTCCTGAGGGACCAATCTGCGAATGCGGCTACACTTACTGCTCCTCAGTCCTCAAGACCATGGGTACGTCCGCTAACCCCTAATGATCAAGACTAACAACCCAGATAACCCCTGGAATGAGGATCAACTCTCGCAGTCATACTGCAGCACGCCCAACGTGAAATGCGACGGCGAGTCACCAGCCAGCAGCATAGACAATGCTCTGTTCATCTGCCTGTGCGACCAACCTAGTCAGAAAATCGGAAACCATCTTGAGTTTCTCTGCGGCTGCGACAAGTGTCTCGTTGTCAAGCCCGATTACAGAGGACGATGCAAGACGCCCCCGTTAGCTGGATCCAAGGGCGGCAAGGGTGATGGGAAGGGCAACAAGGTCAGAGGAACCAATCCACTCGGCTTCTGGATGTAGGTAATTGTGGAGGAAGTCACTCATTTGGTGTTTATGTTAGATCCAAATTGACCCATGCTATTTTCCATGCCAATGTGTCGAGCGCAGCGAGGAAGAGCCCTCCGCTAGGAGCCCCCGGAGGGACCTCACATGTTTCAGTTTCTCCAGTGAAACACATTTCTCCTAGTAACCGCATGATTCAAATACTGGCTTACACATCAAGTGGACCACTCTCTCTTCCATGAGCGTCCATCAGCGGTGCATGCAAATCTCAATCGGCCGCTCCGGGTACGTGACCCCGGCCCGCCCCACGCAAAAGCCGGCGCTACACGGGCTAAGTGCCGAGAATGGACGGCTAGGCCCGTTAGTCTGACGTCAGTCGCAGCAAGAGCCGGACGGAAGAGTTTGTCAAGTGCTCGAAACGGTAGAGAATTGGCCCGACTGCAAGGATCCCAGCGTGGAGAAGTGAGGCGTCTGCATGTGGTATAAAGGTGAGTGCGTCATCCATTAGAGTTTGTCTCATCGTAGCATCATCTCATAACTCATCTCATAATCACGAACTCATACCCTCTCTCAACATACCCATCACAACACACATTCACAGATACCCAATTCATACACAATGGCTCCCAAGGTTCTCGTCGTTCTCACCAGCCAGTCCAAGATGAACAATGGACATCCGACCGGCTGGTACCTGGTAAGCCACTCACTCACTCACCAAACCCCAAACCCCAAACTAACCGCCGCAGCCTGAGTTCGCCCACCCCTACTACGACCTCGTCAACAGCGGCGTCGAGATCACCGTCGCTTCACCCGCCGGCGGCGAAGCACCCCTCGACCAGGCCTCCGTCGAGATGTTCAAGGGCGACGAGGAGTCCGTAAAGTTCCTCAACGAGAAGAAGCAGATCTGGGAGCAGACCACCCCCCTCAAGGAGTTCCTCGGCAAGGCCTCCGAATTCGATGCCATCTTCTACCCCGGCGGCCACGGCCCCATGTTCGACCTCGTCAACGACGAGACCTCCATCAAGCTCATCGAGGAGTTCTACAAGGCCGGCAAGCCCGTCGCCGCAGTCTGCCACGGCCCCATCGTCTTCGTCAACGTCACCGTCGACGGCAAGCCTCTCCTCGAGGGCCGCGAGGCTACCGGCTTCAGCAACTCCGAGGAGGAGGCTGTCAAGCTGACCAGCGCCATGCCTGTGCTCCTCGAGGACGAGATCAAGCGTGTCGGCGGCAAGTACGTCAAGGCCGACGACTGGGCCGAGAAGCTGGCTGTCGATGGACAGGTCATCACCGGACAGAACCCTGCGTCTGCCCACGCTGTTGGAAAGGCCATCCTCAAGGCCATTCGCGCTTAAATAGATCATGATACCACGTTGATTAATGAGATAATGTCCAAAGTTGACGAACTATACTTGGTGTTCCCTCCGGGGGCTCCTAGCGGAGAGCTCTTCCTCGCTGCGCTCGCGTGAAATGGTCATGTATTGAATGTGATCGGGCTGAGATTTATATGTTGTTGATAGTCTACTGAGGCAAGAGAATGGGACTGCCCTTGACCTTAATCGACAACATACTTAGCTAAATCAAGTCTAAGCCTATATGATTGTTTGATGAGTTTAGTTTAGCATCCTCTTCCTCGAGGATCCTGACCCATCTTACAAATGAACCACCCTTCTCACACCCTTCATCTCTTCGTATGGGTCTCAAGTGTGCACTTAGAATAGGTAATACGATACTGTTATTACATTACTATTACTACTTCTTGAAAACCTTCTCAAACCCAGTCAAGGTGAACCTATAGTGCACCTTATTCTCCTTCACACGCTCAACGGCCTCAGCACATCCCTTCTCTGAGATATCAATCGTCTCAACCCATGCAACAATGTTCTTCTCAGCAGCCAGCTTCAGCATAGCATCCATCTCCTGGTGGTTACCAAGATGGCTTCCCGTGATCTTACCAGCGTTACCAGCAAATGTGCCAGCAGTCACCTGAGGAAGCGGCTCATCAGGAATGCCGACGTTGTGAAACTCGCCTCCAATGTTGAGCGTGGACATGTAAGCGTTCATGTCGAACTTGTGTGTCATGTCGGCGCAGTTGAGGATAAAGTCGAAGGTGAACTTGTACTTGTCGGCCCAGTTCTCATCAGTCGTGACGATAACTTCCTTTGCGCCGAGCTTCTTTGCATTCTCCACCTTTGAGGGAGAGTGTGTCATGGCGTAGACTTCAGCGCCGAGTGCTTTTGCCCACTGGATACCCATGTGTCCGAGACCGCCGATACCAACGATGGCAACCGTCTTTCCAGGACCGACATTTGCTCTCACGAGGGGCGAGTAGGTCGTGATGCCCGCGCAGAGAAGAGGTGCAACCTGCTCAGACTTGAGGGCATCAGGGATCTTGAAGGTGAAGTACTCGTGAGCACGGATATGCGATGCAAAGCCTCCATGCGCAACACTTCCATCCGGATAGGTGCAGTTATACGTGTCCACCATGTCAGGACAATAATTCTCGTTCTTGTTCTTGCAGAGCTTGCACTCCAGACACGAAGCGACTTGGGCACCGACGCCAACACGGTCTCCGACTTTGATGTCCTTGACGTTGTCGCCTACACGGACAGCTTTGCCGACGACTTCATGGCCAACGCAGAGAGGCCCTTCGAAATCGCCCCAGCCGCCGGTGACGGTGTGCACGTCTGAGCCGCAGACACCGCAGGCTTCAATCTCGACGTCGATATCGCGATCGCCCCATGTCTTGGGCTTGAGGGTTTGTTTTTGGAACTTGTTCCATGATTTGGGGCTGTCGACGCAGAAACCTTCAAAAGTATCGGGATAGCCCATGATGATTGGATAATTAATTAATGTGATCTATCAGGGTACACTATCAAGGTTCTCTATTTACAGTATTTATATCTTCCCATCTCCTTCGCCTTCTCGCTGTCTGTGAACTTCTTCATGACGTCTTGAATTCAGTGTCTATGACGCTCCGCGACAAAAGCTCCGGAATATTCACATTAACAGATCTTTTGTTCTCCATTTGACTCAATCGGGTAAGCTTCTCGAAATCTAGTCAGATCGAGATGCAATCTGAGGAAGTTGGAGATAAGTGGCCGTGTTAAACCGTGGGTCAATGACGTAGATCACGATTGGCGAGATTACGTTGCAATGATTGAGTATTCGGGGTCCTACGTGATAATTCCGATTAAACTGACAATACATACTCTTCGATGAGAGGATAAATCGACTCGTACAGGCTGCATCTCTGATCCAACACTGTTTGCTCGATGATTGAAGGTCCTGACGTTTGGGTCCCTCCGACGTCTCCCAGGTTTGCAACATATCTCGATCCAACAGGCCAACCTGGTCCAGCTTGCGGGTTCCTGACAAATCTCCCCACAACTCCTCGAAGATACTCCGCAAATGTGTAGAGTTGTGGTGACATTGCGTCAAAGGTTGGTGAATTGAACAGCAGGAGGACATCTGAGCCGTGAAACTTGCCCAGCCAGGAGTATTTGTCGTCTAAAAGACTTGTGACCGAGGCATTGAAGTAGAATCGCCATGTTGGACTGACAGAGGATGATATGTTGGCAAGAATAGCTTGGGGCTGGATCTGTTAGCTGTGAAGTCGGAAGCATGTGAACTTACACATTGCCAGACAAAGTCTGTATAGATTGCTGCAGCAGTATCAAAGTCGGTCTTGAGATTGTGGTAAGCATCGAGAATTTGCCTCCGCTGGGTTTTTTTGACCAGAGGTTCAGAGAGATAGGCCCCGAAGAATGTCTCGAGTGAGATGTTCCTGTTGATCAGTCCTCGCCCTTCTTCAGCGATAGTCCCCATGAGCACAGGCACTCGTGCAACATCTCCGTGACGCCATCTCTCAGCTCTGCCACTCAGAATTGTGACATTGTCAGTGACTGGGAGAAACGCGCTTCCCGCTGTACTCATGGCGTTGATGAGATCGTCTGCTGGTACATATCTCATACACTGCAACTGATCCGCTTGACAGCCAACTACAGTTGTCAGATTATCCCAGTACGAAGTATCGTGGTGACTGGCAGTGCTTCCGAGGTACCCAACAGACATTTGACCAGAAAACATCATTGCAGCACGGAATGCAGACGTGTTTCTGTTGACATGGATATCAACAGACATGGCGCCGGCAGATTCACCCCAGATAGTGACTTTGTCTGGATCTCCACCAAAGGCGCGAGCATTCCGTTGGACCCATTCGATGGCGAGTTGTTGATCATAGATGCCGAGGTTGATCTCCGAAACTGGTATGTCTGGAGAGTTTGGGAACCCAAAGACTGTTCGTCAGCAAGGCTCAAAGTACGAGCGCAGCGAGGAAGAGCCCTCCGCCAGGAGCCCCCGGAGGGATCTCACATGTTTCAGTGAATCAGCGACTCACCATTTGTTCTGTAGTTGAAAGTAAAGACGATGATATCCTCATACGCTGCGAAACCACTGAGATCAATTTCTCCATTTCCCTGCTGCCATCCACCGCCGCTGATGAACAAGAGCACAGCCTTTGAGTGAGCATCTGCTGGAGCGAAAGCATTGATGAAGAGACAGTCTTCACTTTCACGAGATGCTGTATTGAATAGTCCCTTGAGTAGATCAATTTCAGGGGTGAGTTCTACAATGTTAGCTTCATTCCATGGATTGTAGATAACTCACCACTCTGAACAAATAGTTGTCTGCATGAAGGACCAAACCTGGTCGCATTCAATGGCTTCGTCCATGGCTCAGGGTTCACTGCACGGCTGAATCGCTGCGGTTTGGCGGCATATGGAATACCCAGAAACTTGTTCACGGGCGAGGCAGCTGGAAGAGTTGTGGTGAGGCCAAAGATTGGACCTGAGTCGAGAGTAGCTGTTGGAGTTTCAGCCCCGACGTATGGGAGCAAGAGTCGTGACAATGTGAGAGGCTTCATGATTGCTGCATGGCATAGATGGAGTCGCCATGGCTGGGAGTGTCATTAAATAGTTGAGCGATGCTTGGATTGAGTGGTTATTGATGAATGTTCATCGACGCCGTATCGCTCGGGTTCATGGTTGTCGACACGGAATACGACGAATGCGAGATCGCCGTCAGCAACCGACGATCCTCAACATAAGCAACTCGTATGAATGCATTTGAAGCTTTCAGATGTCCAACGATAAATAGACAAACAGCAAGGTACGAATCATTGAATTACAAACATCAATCGAGTCAGATACAAACATCCATCAAGTCGCCCTCCTTTCACCCCTCGCTGCCTCCAACGATCTCTGCTTCTTCTCATCATTTGTATCCTTTACATAACTCGCAACATGCTCAGGCACTTCCACCTTGTTATACGGCCCCGGAATCGGCTCCCCGATCGTCTGATACACAGGCAACACACCCGTCCACGTCGAATTCACCAGACTCTCATTCTCCAAATCACTCTTATCATCCGTCGCTGATCCCGCACTGATCTTGGCACTTGCCGACGTAATCTTGATCTTGAGAATATTCGTGCTCTGCATCTCTGGCGCCAACGGAGGCTGTCGTGTATGGTTCCAACGATCAGCCACAACACTATTGCTGATGAGTTCCATCGCATACAGCTTTTCTTCATCTGACTTGACAGTAGTCGCGTAGCCGTAGATCACAGCCGATCGATAGTTGTAATTGTGCGAATACGTCGCCAGAGTCAAGACGAGTCCGTCAACGTGCGATGCAGCAACACAAACAGGCATTCCCTGAATCTCTTCCCCATCAACAGTAGATGTCTGAGCCAGGTTCATGATCCTCGACGACACATATCCGTGAAGATACAGTTCCAGAGGATCTCGCAGACTTGAGCTCGGCCGATCAAACGACCCCAGCTGTCCTATCATCGGCAGGACAACCGGAAACGGCTGAGAAGGTGTATTAAACGATACATGAAGAATCGGACATGTATTGACGATACTATGGACAGTCTCGAGGTCATAAACCCCGTGGACTTTGTACCGCTTGATGGTATTTGTCGAGTCTTTGGGGTACTGAAGATTATGACGGCCCATTTTGTTTACTTGATGATTACAATTCCTACCGTACAATTGGACCTTATATAGCCATCCGTATCATTCACAGGCTAGAACTGCCCCGAAAGGTAATTATTCGCGTGATAAGACAGCGTCCTAACGTTAGCTCTGAGTTAGCTCGGGTGTATGCCGGACCGGAAAAACCCAACCCCACCTATATCCTGTCTGGCCACACTCATCTTCAAGATACCCCGCGACATCAAAGTCGCATCAAATCACCATGGTTCTTCAAGATCTCGGCCGTCGCATCAACGCGGCGGTCACAAACCTGACCCGAGAGCAAAATCTCGACGAAAAGGTGCCCTCCAATCCCCATTCTCCATGTCTCTCCCGCTAACTGTCTAGGCCTTCGATGGCATGCTCAAGGAGATTTGCGCCGCTCTCCTCGAAGCAGACGTCAATGTACGACTCGTCGGCCAACTACGGAAATCCATCAAGTCCACCGTCAACTTCAAAGAACTCCCCCCCGCCGTAAACAAGAAACGCCTCATCCAAAAAGCCGTCTTCGATGAACTCGTCAAACTCGTCGATCCCCACGCCGAACCGTTCCGACCAAAGAAGGGAAAGAGCAATGTCATCATGTTTGTTGGTCTCCAGGGTGCTGGAAAGACGACCACATGTACAAAGCTCGCGCGCCACTACCAGTCCAGAGGCTTCAAGGCCTGTCTGGTCTGTGCCGATACCTTCAGAGCCGGTGCCTTTGACCAGTTGAAGCAGAACGCCACAAAAGCAAAGATCCCCTACTATGGTTCCCTCACAGAAACGGATCCCGCCGAGGTTGCGAGGGCTGGTGTCGACCAATTCAAGAAGGAGAGGTTCGAGGTCATCATCGTCGATACATCAGGTCGCCACCGACAAGAATCCGCCCTTTTCCAGGAGATGGTGGACATCCAAGAAGCCATCAAACCCGACGAGACTATCATGGTCCTCGACGCTTCCATCGGTCAACAAGCAGAGTCACAAGCCAAGGCGTTCAAGGAGGCCGCTGATTTCGGAGCCATTATCATCACAAAGACCGACGGCCACGCACACGGCGGTGGTGCCATCTCTGCAGTCGCTGCGACACATACCCCCATCGTCTTTATCGGTACCGGTGAACACATGCTCGACTTTGAAAAGTTTGCCCCCCAACAATTCGTGCAGAAGCTCCTCGGCATGGGCGACATGGCCGGCTTGATGGAGCACGTGCAGAGCCTCAACCTCAACCAGAAGGACACCATCAAGCACATCCAGGAGGGCATCTTCACCGTGCGCGACCTGCGCGACCAGCTCTCCAACATCATGAAGATGGGCCCCCTGTCCAAAATGGCTGGCATGATCCCCGGCATGAGCAACATGATGCAGGGCATGGACGACGAAGAGGGCGGCGCCAAGCTCAAGCGAATGATCTACATCTGCGACTCCATGACCGACAAGGAGCTCGATTCGGACGGCAAGATTCTCATCGACCAGCCCACCCGAATGACCCGAATCGCACGCGGATCCGGCACGTCAGTGCGCGAAGTCGAGGACCTCCTCACCCAACAACGGATGATGGCCGGCATGGCAAAGAAGATGGGAGGAAACATGAAGAACATGCAGCGCGCCCAACAAGCCATGGGCGGCGGCAACAAGGCACAGCAATTAGCAGCCATGCAAAAGCGGTTACAGAGCATGGGAGGCGCCGGCGGTGCAGGAGGCATGCCCGACATGGGCAGCTTGATGAAGATGCTCGGCGGAGGAGGCGGAGGCATGCCCGGCGGTATGGACATGCAGGCCATGATGAGGCAGATGGGCATGGGCGGCGGCGGCATGCCTGGGATGCCCCCTGGAGGAGGAAGAGGTCGCAGGTGAGCACGCATCATGGAACACGATTGCCAGTCACTTCTGCCCTGTTGACTACATAGCATACGCATCTAAAATTGAAGATACCCTGACCTCAGGGCAAAGCTCCTGACCTTCCGATGTGTCTGATGAGCCTGATGAGTCTGATGAGTCTCAAGTGACTGATTCCACACTGTCTTGTCTACTACACAGGATGGATTTCCCTCCGGGGGCTCCTGGCGGAGGGCCTTTTCTCGCTTCGCTCGGGTTTGGTGATGCAGATCTCGACGGGATGCAATATCGGCTGTAGAGAGTGCAGATTGTAAATACCCTCTGCCCAGAACCGCTGAGTACACCACACCTCTCCCAATATGAGGACAACACACTGTTCGTCGTCACAGCTGCGCGGAGCCTCTCACTATCAAACTAAACTGTTCTAAAAGTCTCAACCTGTCAAACATGTGGAACGTGACAGACTTCCGATGGTACAGATGAGTCTCTTGGCTCACCAAGTCAAGAATTGTGAACCATCCATCGATTGCGACATAGCTAGTGATACAGTAACCTCATCGACACCCTCGACGGATCTGTCATACCCAAGAAAGGGATGTGAGCTTGCGATGACACGCTTTTTTTATTTCATGCTCCCTAAGATTAGTATAATTAGTCTAGATTTATGGTAACTTCCCTAAGCTCATCATATGACTGTTTTACTCTGACATTGGCGTGCATTCTCATTTGACTCATGATCGCGACCCTCAAGCGCCTTGCCCTGACCAAAAGTTCACGAGCGCAGCGAGGAAAGGCCCTCCGCCAGGAGCCCCCGGAGGGACTGCTTCGATCTGCTTAAAGCCTGCAGCAAGCTCAGCTGATAGAAATAGAACAAAATGAAAGGCTTGATTGGACGAGGTCGAAGGTGGTCGCATCTAACCGCCGGCGTGGACAAGGGTGTACCAACAGCTTCATGGGTCTCAGACACTTATAAAACCGCAGACAGGAATGACTCAATCAATCTGTACAACAACTATCTCATTTATCGCTTAAATCTGAATACAAGATGCCCTCAATTGATGCCGACACGCCACTTCCCTCAACTGAGGGTATCACGGAAACTAACTCCAGTCCACCTTCCAACAGGCACCGCACTCCTTCTGTCTCTCTTACCCCACCTGGCAGGACCAGGGAAGAGTCTCATGGGCTTGCATCTGCCATCCACAACATTCGTCTCTCCGACACAAATGGTACTCTCAACTGCTCATCGAGATTCCGCTAACATGTTCAGGACACGCATCTCTCTCGCCCGAACCAAGACGCTCTAGAAATGGTACTCCCCGAAGACGGCGTTCAAGCACTGGGGCTGTTCAGCAGCATGATGTCGCTGACGAAGAACTCCCTGATGATGTATTTCATTCTCCCGAGTTTCAGGGGGCTTTTCGAGATGCCAAGCAGCTAATGTCCAACGTTCAATCTGTGCTGGGAAGCTCAAATGTTCACGAAGGGTCTGAGTCGACCATGCGAAAGCTTCACGAAGAGGCTGGCAAGCTCGCGGCGTTTGAGTACCCAGCAACTCGTACCGTTGGATTCGTAGGCGACTCTGGTGTTGGTAAGTTAACACGAGATGTGTTTGCGCCGCTGACAGTAGTAGGCAAAAGTAGTCTGCTCAATTCACTCCTCGACACAAAAGGGCTTGCCAGGACTGTAAGTAGCTGCCCAAGTTTAGGACGACGCTGATATCTCAGAGCAATAATGGAGAAGCTTGTACCTGTGTTGTGACAGAGTACCGTTATCACAATCTTGACACGCTGGGCATTCGAGTCAATCTGTTCTCGATGGAAGAACTCCAAGATCAACTCGGTAGACTGCTCCAAGTTTATCGCACGTTTGAACTTCATCAAGATGAGATTAATGATGCCGCTGAACGTCAAGACATGGAGGCAAATGTCAAGGTGGCCAAGGATACGTTTCGAGCCATGTTTCGCGGTCGACTGACTGATGAGGCATTTCTGATTCGTCAGACATACGAGGATGTGCTCGAAAGACTGACTAGCTGGGCATCTGATGCAAGGCCGCCTTTGAGGACTTGGACAGGTCTCTCGCCGCAAGCTTGCTCCGATGTTTTGATGGAGCTCTCTTCTGAGCCGGCATCCAGAGATTCTCCAGCGACGTGGCCCTACATCCGAAGCATCAAGTAAGTACATCCCTAGAACTGAACCGACTAACAAGAAAGGGTCTTTTTGAATGCGCATATCCTCAGTCGAGGCCTGATTCTCGTGGATCTACCCGGCCTTCGCGATCTCAACTCTGCTCGAAGGAACATCACCGAACGCTATCTCCTGGAGTGCAACGAGATCTTTGCAATCTGCAACATTGGGCGCGCAGCCACTGACGAGGGTGTTCATCAAGTTTTTGACTTGGCTGACCGCGCTCGTCTGTCGAATGTCGGCATTGTCTGTACTCGATCTGATGTAAGTGGCAGGTGGCATATGTGAATTCGCTGACCTTTCAGGACATCGACCCCGAGGAGTCAATCAGAGACTGGCCAGGCAGAAGGGCAAGACATATTGAGCAGCTGTTGGAGCATATCGAAACGGCCACCAAGGAGATAGAGGAATTGCAGGCAGAAATCGAGGATTTTGGGGCGAGTGATCTATCTGAACAAGAAAGACAGGAATTTGCAGAATGCTTGGAGGAGCAACGACAAGCAAGGTATGTTTCCGATTGCTGGCGGTAACTGCTAACATTTCAGCACGCGCAAACAAAACTACGAGTTTGAGTAAGTTGGCAACACAATACCCGAATGGCTCGACTAACATCTCAGACTCAAATCATATTTGATCACAAACCGCAATCAGATCATCACCGATTCACTCAACACCACCTACGCCGGCCGCGTGACACCCTCCAGAGTCTTTTGCGTGAGCAACACAATCTACTGGCAGAACAGAACTGCCAGAAAGTCAGAGGCCAAAAGACATCTCGACCTCAGTGGCATCCTGCAAGTTCGAAAACACTGCATCTCGATTGTCGCAAACAGCCAACGGCGCATCGCTACACAATACATGAAAGACCATATCCCTGCGTTGCTTGCTGACATTGAGCTCTGGGTCCAATCTGGAGCTCGGACTGCGAGTGAAGAACGTCGCGAGGCGCTCTGCCAAACCCTAGACAGTGTTGAGCGTCGTCTGAGGAAGGTATGAGATTGTTGAAGTTGCGTTCCAACTGACTTTTGTAGGACTTTACATCGCGAGCTTTTAGTCGTCTAGCAAGAGGATACAACGAAGACTTTGCGGAATACGTTTGGAATAGTGAGTGCCTCGGCTTGGTTGGAATTGTACTGACCTTTAGATCGTCACGTTTCTTCATGGAGCCGGTCAGCCAAAAGTGCAAGCCAAGATTGGGCAGGGGTACGTTTCTCGCGATATTGTTGACCAAGCTAACAGATTCAGTGGCATCACAGTAAGTTGGCAATGCGGCCAAGGTTCAGCACTAACGAACAGGTTCTTATTCTGCATTCTGTCGAAACTTTGGGGACTATTGCACTCCTGCAGTCGGATCACGAAATTGGAACGAGGAGGCCATGGATGATATGGTTACTGATCTTGAAGGGCCTTGGGAGGGAATGTGTGGCGCTATACAGGAACGACAGTCGAGTATGCTCGAGAATGCCGACGAATTCGCAGACATGGCTGTCGAGAGACTTGGTAGGTCATACACCACCGACTGGGCATGCTGACATGAGTAGAAGAGCATGATTCCGTCGATTCTTTAACTCGAGCTCTTGAAAACCGCCAGAATATGTTCCTGGCTGCTATCGAGAAAGTCAATGAAGACTTTGACAACGATCTCCGGTGAGTTGCCTTCATCGATCGCAGGTGAGTAGCGTCGCTAACGAAACAGAATCCTCCGCATCGAGTCACTTTCCGCCCTTCGAAGCTCACTCTTCGGGAAGTCAATGGAGCCCTTCTACAACAGGTGCAACGCCGAATCTGGTACGTTTACACACCGTCTACTGATGCGGCTAACCCTCCAGGCCGAGGAAGTGATGCTCGTCGAAAGGCAATCATCAGAGGAGCTTTGAGCGATCAAGATTTGTTCACCAAGCTCATGGGAAGCCTCAAAGATAGTTTCAAGGCCAATTCAGAGGCCACCCAGGCAAAGATACAGGAAGCAACCGTGGAGTATCTGCGCGTTATTGAGCAACGATTTGATCTCGTGCGGAGTGAGAACGTCGCCCGGGAAAGCGAGCAGGATCCAGACTTTCGACTCCGGGTTGAGCATATTGCGCGAGCTGGAAGGGAGACTATGCAGAGGGTTCACCAAGTTATCTGATTGATCTATACTTATGCCAATTGACTCTGATTCTCAGATTGCCTATTCAGGAAGCGGGGCTGGTTGTAAGAAGGCGTTACATCACCACGACCACCTTCTGAGAACATCAGAGGATAAAGCATTTCATCGAGAATTATTGTCCCAAACTCTGTATCATCCAAAATGTCTGCTCGCACGATGCTTCGACACGGTCTGCGCCCGTTTTCTCATGTCTCCCGTCGCTACATCTCGACTCGAGATATGACGGCTTCAGATCTGAAGAAACTCAAGGTTGATCAATCCCGATTGATGGACACTCTTCACGACACCTGCAAATGGGGAACCGGACTCAGATGGGGAGAGTAAGTCTCATGGTCCTCGTCAGATCAAGCTAACAGAATAGCAACCCGACCGACACCGGAATGTCACGGCTGGCACTTTCGGATTCAGACAAGACAGTGCGCGATTGGTTTGTCGAGACCACAAAGTCTCTTGGATGTAAAGTGACCATTGACTCAATTGGAAACATCTTTGCAATTCGACCTGGCCGCAAAGATGGTCCTCCCACTGTGGCCGGCAGTCATCTGGACACTCAACCCACCGGCGGTCGATACGATGGTATCCTCGGCATCCAAGCAGGAATCGAGATGCTCAAGCTTCTTCGAGACCACGACGTCGAGACAGAATATCCTGTCGGTGTAGTCAATTGGACAAAGTAAGTCATCAGCCCACAGTCGACAATTCTGACCATCCAGTGAGGAGGGCGCACGATTCCCAATCAGCATGATGGCCTCTGGTGTCTGGGCTGAAGCGATCCCAGAAGAGCGCGCGCACAACTTGAAGGAGGTATCCGGTAACGCAACAGTCAAATCTGAACTGCAGAGAATTGGATACCTCGGCGACACGCCTGCAAGCTACAAGGCCATTCCAATCGGGGCGCATTTCGAACTTCACATCGAGCAGGGACCGATCCTCGAGAGGGCTGGAAAGAAGATTGGTGTCGTGCAAGGTGTTCAGGCCTACAAGTGGTTCACTATCGACATCACTGGACGGGGTATGTGAACCAAGGCGACCAGAGGCACAGCTAACAGATCAGATGCCCACACTGGCTCAACCCCATTCTCCGACCGAGCCGACGCCCTGTTACTCGCGGCAAGATTGATCACTCACTCTCACCGACTGGCGACAAAGCACAATGCCCTCACGTCAACTGGCATTCTAAACCTCACTCCCGGAAGCACAAACACCATCCCGGGTCACGTTAGCTTCACTCTTGACATCCGCTCTCCATCCGACGAGACAGTCGAAAAGCTCGAAGAGGAACTGCGCCGCGACTTTGATCTGCTGGCCCGGGGAACAGACGTAGACGGAATACTGGCCGGATCAACTCCCGCCTTGCCACTGTCTCTCAAATGGCGAACCGACACAATCTCAACCGCGACAAAGTTCCACCCGGATTGCATCCAAGCAGTCAGAGACTCCGCCGAGTCTATCCTCGGAAAAGACGCTGCCGTCGACATCTCTAGCGGCGCTGGTCACGACAGTGTCTACACGAACAAGCATTGTCCCACGACCATGATCTTCATCCCGTGCAAAGGGGGCGTCAGCCATAACCCGGAAGAGTACTCGTCTCCCGAAGAGTGCGCCATTGGGGCAGAGGTTCTGTGTCAGGCAGTTGTTAGATATGATCAGAAGAGGGTGTAACAGTACCGCTGCTTGGTGGATGTCCCTCCGGGGGCTCCTAGCGGAGGGCTCTCTCTCGCTCCGCTCGTGTTGGGACAGGACTTGCTGAAACATCACAATCTTCACTTCACATATGTACTCATTTAGTGCCACCACATGAACATGTATTGGAATTCTCCCTGCCTGCGCCCATATAGTAAAGCTTATCACCTCCCCGATCCTGGTCACTCGCGGGTTAAGCGGACCCCCATGTTGATGTTCAATTCTTCTTGAGAGGCGCAATCACACTCTCAACATCGGCCAATGCTTGCTTGAGCACTCGGTTCTCCTCCTGGAGTCTCACTTTCTCCTCAATCTCTCTGGCCTTCTGGACTCGCTCAGGTGTCAACTTGGAGAGTGTCTCGATAGGCTGATATGGACGTGGGTCGAAGCCAAACGCCCGTCTTTGCGATGACAAACTGAACTTTTCCCACTCGGGGAGTGCGTTCTTCTTCTCCATTTCCTTGTTCTTCTGTTCGAGTGCCTCAACTCGCTGCACAAGTGCCTCAACTTGCTGGGCAAGGGTATTCTCGGGTTCGGCCATTTCTATCTCGCTGTTAGAACTCTTGATATGGCAAATAGCATGCTCGTTAACTTACCGTAGTAGGATGCGTCAGGATACTCCTGAGGAGGGAATGCCGAGAAAGAAGTTGTGAAGTTTGGAGGAAGTAGGTTTACGAAGGTGAAGAGTTCTTGATGGGTAGGGTTGCGTGAGATGCACTCTGATTCATTGGCACCTGGAAAGTCACGGCTGCCAGTGCTACGGCTTGCTCGAATTCATCGCAATTTTCCACGAGCGCAGCGAGAAACGGCCCTCCGCCAGGAGCCCCCGGAGGGACATAATACAGAGGCTTAGAATTGTGTTACACCGCCTAAAGGTGAATGATTTCACCTGTGATTCACTGACCTTGAATTCTGAATGAGCTTTTTTTCTTGACAACGAACCGCAAAGCATCAATCTCTTCAACCATTCAGCTTCGCAAATTTGCAAAGTCTTCCTCAAAACCATCACAGAATCACTCCGGCGAAGAACGCGACCTTTTTCTTTTTAAAAATCCCTTTTTTATTCACTCAGAGACCCATGATGACCCCTACCCGACAGGAAGAGAAGCAGCAAAACCGCGAGGGTTTTGAAAAGCGGCAAGCGGCCAAGAGCGGGCAATCCGGCTCTGGTCGTGGCACTATTGGGCCCGACAAGAGCCGAGACTCGAGCAAGTGTCCTCAGACTATGGCCGAAAGGCACGGCATCACCAAGGGCCAGAAGAGGCAGACCGAGGAGGACGATGATCGATGCGTCGTGAGGGAAGAGGGCCAAGTTTACGACGGTGCCGAGGATCTGGAGAACCTCTCTGGTGAGCGCCAGAAGAATGTGATGCACCATCGAGAGCAGGGGAATGACGAGGCTCTGGTGGGCCATACGAACAATGCAGTGCATGCCACTCAGGCTGCCCAGGCTCCTCAGTCACTTCCCAGCACTCCCGAAGTCCTCTTTGCGTCCAAACCAGACCGCCCGGATCGTTTGTCCCGAGCCAGAGCCACCGAGATAGCGTACGACGTGGTGAGGTCCACTAGTGCCGCTGGCCCAAGCATGAGAACTCCGTTCCGTCCTCTCAATGAGAGGATTACCGCCCCTTTTGCAGGGAAAACCACCCGCCCTCGAGGCGAGACTGCCAGTCTGGATCGATTGGCCCAAGCCAAGGCCGACAAGGAAGACTACGACATGGTGGTGTCCACCCGCCCTCAAGGCGAGACTACCAGCCAGGCTGGTATATCCCACAAGCACTGTGCTAACTGTGGAGGAAATGGCCACCTCTTGGTCAACTGCATCACGGCTGAGCATGGCTCAATCAAGGTCTGCGTCTTCTGCAGGACAAAAGACCACATGACCGATGAGTGTCGATCTTTCAATAAGCTGGGCCTGGCGGCCAAGGTTAAGCTGCTTGTCAAGGATCGTGCTGGCAAGCCGGAGCTGGACACCCGCCGGGGTTGGTGGCGTTATCTTCACGACTTCTTGGTATCGGAGGAGACCAAAGGCGTCCCTATCCCGACTGCGTTCCCTTGGTCACCGAAGTTCGCCGAGGGCCTTTTCGAATGCAGGTTTCCCAAGAACATTGACCAGATCCAGGAGGAGTTTGATAGAAGCCGGGATGCATCCAAGTTGCCCAAGGATGAGACAATGCAGAGCCTGGAGGATGTCTACACCCGTCACTGGAGGGAAGAGAAGCTCCCCTGGCCCCGCCTCCGTCTGGGCAGGATGTCGTCGAGTGTGGATATGGAGGATCTGGAGAACCGTCGTCAGAATGATCCGCGTCCGGCTGCCTATTACGAGGCTCTCTCGAAATACAATGGCTGGAGGGCATGTGATTTTTCTGATGAAGAAGAAGAGTAGATGGCCAAGCCTCTGCACGCCCGTCCTCACCATGACACCCCCTCCTATTGGAGGGACCGCCTCATGTTTGAGAGACCACCACCTCCTATTGGAGAGACGAGCGCCTCATTTTTGAGAGACTACTACCTCCCATTGGAGAGACTACCACTGTTTTGACCGAGAATGGCGATCCCCGAGATAGCTTCACCGTTATACTTCAGGTAAGAAGTGAAAGTTCATGTAATACAGGAAGCAGGCTAATCACAAGACAGAGTATCCTCAGCTCCTCCAAGGCCGATGACCAGTTGACGAATTCGATTTACGAGCGAAAGGAATGGAAGAATGGGGCTGGCTATCGATGTAGTATGCTCGGGACTTCAACCGATCCCATATCTACTGTACATGCTTCTTCACCTCCCGATCAACCCCAAGCCACAGCATGTCCGGTCGACTGTAGTGCCCGCAGACATCCACAAAGCTCTTGCACCGTAGAATCTCATCCAAGTCAAGTGTGGCATACAAGATCCCCTCCTCGCATTCCGGTACATCCTCGGTGAGAATCCTCCCATCAGGTCCAAAGATCGCAGAGCTGCCTCCTCCGGGTATATTCATGACAGCTCCATTCTCTGTGTTCATGAGACTGATTCCTTGTTCGCTGATGACGGACGTTGCATGCAGTACAAAGGCTTGTGATTCGATTGCGTATGTTTGGGACAATGAGCGGGCGCCTGTTTGTTAGTCACATTCTGAACGAGGAATGAGCGCATACCTTCTCTCGACATGGACCACAATTCCTCGCCCTTGTGTGGATGCAGTGGCGGCCACGCAGCGACATGGATCTGCTCCCGGTGACTGTACAGATAATACTTGAGCAGGGGCTGAATATGTTCCCAGCAAGAGAGTGCTCCGACACGGCCGACCTTTGTATCGACAACACTCGTGAGGGCATCACCAGAGGCATCACCAAATATTGTTCTCTCCATGTGGGTAGCTTTGATCTTGCGCCGAAGTGCAAGCAGTTTTCCGTCAGAGTCGATGATGGCTTGGGAGATGTACAGAGTGTTGTGAAAGTTTTCCGAAAACCCAAGGACGACGGTTATATCGTTGTCGGCTGCGCATTGCTGGATTCTTGCCATCTCTGGGCCATCGGCACGCATGCAGTTTTTGATGTACCGGCTCGTGAGGTGTGTATCAACTGGTCGCGCCCTTTGACGTTAGTTGCGTCTGAGCTCACGGGTGCCTACTTACCATATCCAAGCAGGATATCCTGTGACCCAACACTCGGGAAATGCCAGCAGCTGAGCACCTCCTCTGGCTGCCTCACCGATCAAAGCACAAGTTTTGTCGACTGAGCCCTCCAAGTCAAGCCATTCTGGTTCAGCTTGGGTGACTGCGACTCTGACGGTGGCCTCGGGGGTGATTGCAAGCTTTGCCATTGTGTAGAGAGTTAATCAGATTGAGTTGAAGTTGGCTTTGACTGATGTGAATGAATCTGGCTTGACAGTTTATAAGACAAGACATGCATCCATCTGCTACCAATCAGCTCCGTATCATGGGCGGAATCTCGACATCCGCCGCTAATCACTTATCGGCTTCCCCGCAAAGTTAATCTCCCCGCGATCCATGTTATCAGCGGCGGCTCTTTCGCATCCGCCGCTAACGAGTGGAGCTGCAATGATAACCAGATACTGTGATCCCGAGTACTCGGGAGTGTTCCGTGGCTGTAGTGATCGGGACATAAATATGACCGTGACCATTGCCATTGTCATTGTCCAGCAAATCTCACATCACAATGGCTTTTGGCGTCCTTGAAAGTAAAGCTCCCGAGCAACCTGCTGGGACTGTCTTCCTCGAAGACTCCCAGGATGGCATGCACACGATCTTGGTGCCTGCACCTTCCAACTCTCTCCATGATCCTCTCAACATGTCGCGAATCCGAAAGGAGCTCTACTTCTTGACCCTCCTTTTTGGTGCCTGCGTGACTGGCGCTCTTGGTTCTGTTCTCGTCCCAGCTTTCGGCATTGTGTCGCAGACCTTCCAAACACCTCTCTCCAATGTGGCCCTCCTCAATGGATCCCTCATCCTGGGCCTCGGCGTGAGCTCATATCTTTCAGCAATCATCTCAGATCTCTGGGGTCGCAGAATCATTTTCGTCGTGACCTCGGTCCTGCTGGTAGTCTCCAATATCTGGGCGGCCGTCTCTCAAGGATACGAGTCACTCCTGGCAGCCCGTGTATTCCAGGGACTCGCCATGGGACCGTGCTTTTCTCTGGCCGGTACTTCTTGCGTGAATGACGTCTTCTTTCTTCACCAGAGAGGTCGAAGGGTCGGTCTGTGGAACTTTGCCGTCATTGTGTCCGTCAACATCGCCCCGGTCATCAGCGGGTATCTGATTGTGGACATGGGCTGGCGATGGGCTTTTTGGTTCCTTGCTGTCGCTTTCGCCGTGGGATTGCTCATGGTGGTCTCCTTTCTCCCCGAGACCAAATGGGACAGGGACGAGATAACATCGAGTGTTATTGAACATGGAAAGTCTGAAGCGGATGAAACGGCGGAGGCTGCCCCGGTCGAGATTGCACCATGGAAGAATATCTGTGGAGTCCAACATCTACAATTCGCCAGCGCAAAAGAACTACTGCCCAGTCTTGTCAGCCCGATTCTCATGCTTCGACATCCTGCTGTCGTATGGGGCTGTATCATGTGGTCAATCACCTTTACCTGGGTCATTGTCCTCGGGACTGTTGCCGACCAGATCTTTGGCGCTCCACCATACAGCCTCGACCCAACTCAGGTCGGCCTCGTCATCGGCATCGCTCCTCTTGTCGGGTCCGCCCTAGGCACATTGATCTCTGGTTGGATGTCTGATCTTACTGCTCACTACATGTCTGCATTCAACGGAGGTCTGTACGAGCCCGAGTTCCGACTCGTCGTCATTGTGCCTTCTGCAATCACCATGACCGTCGGAGCGTTTGGTCTTGGCGATGCAATCGAGCATGCCAGACCCACGATGGTTTGTTGCGTCTATCTGGCCCTGATCAACTTTGGCGTCGGCGCGGGCTGTACCGGTATCGTCACGTATACCAACGATGTGTGTGTGCGTGCAGGAAGCGCTTTTGGTCTCGCAATGGTATGTCTTCATCTACTTCAAGGTCAGCACTAACTTTCGCAGCTTATCAAGAGTTCTTTTGCATTCGGCCTCATCTTTATGCTCAACGATTATTATGCCACCAAAGGCCCGATGGTCTTTTTCAGTACCTGGGGAGGTCTAACATTGGGCATCTGTCTGACCACGGTTCCGCTGTATGTGTTTGGAAAGAGGATTCGAAGCTGGATGGGCCGGTGGTGAGGCACCTTGGGATCTCTTCCGTGATGAAAGACTTAAGCGACTCGGGATACCAATAGTACTGTAGACAGACTTGAGTAATTTGTTGTTCCCTCCGGGGGCTCCTAGCGGAGGGCTCTTCCTCGCTGCGCTCGTGTGAAATGGTCGTGGATGATTGTCTCGAATGTATTGCTCTAGTCGCTTTCGTGGAACACCCATTCCCCCGTAGGCGTTGAGAGGTCGATGGTATCCAAATTCAGAGGCTCCTCAAGATTGGCAAACAGCATCCCCCAATCGAGGTCATTGGTGTCGGCTGGAGTCTCATGTGTCGGTGCAAGAGGAACGCTGTGCCTCAAGGGTAACGCCGAAACAACGTTCCACCTGTTGGCCAGCTCTCTGAGAAGAAGTAAACCTCGCTTTGCCCTTGTCCATCTTTTCATCTTGTCCAGTGCGTCAACACAGACTCGGAACCGGTGTACCGATTGGCTGCGAATAGTCGAGTTAGACGATGTCGCATTCAGCAACAGGCTCACAGCAGCTGTAAGAATGCAGTGTATCGCAAAGAACGGGGCATCCTCAATCCTGGCCTCTTTTTCGTATTGGCGGATCAATCTGACAAGGGCGTGCGCGGAGGTCATGTTTGTTCGGACGGATAATTGATGGGCGGTACTCTCCTTCGGTTCCCTGAGATATGGCCGATGTATCAGAAGCAGCGACATGTTGTAGACCATGTGGAGGAGAATGACCTGGGGGTTCATGTTGTTCTTTCGAAGTTCAAGATCGCGGCCCATCTGGCGGAAGAAGTTCATATGATGATCTCTGGCTTCCGAGAGGATTTGATGCCGTTCGAAATGTTCCAACTCTCCAAACTCAAAGGAATATCTGCACAGTTAGAACAATTGCTTCACTTGTCTGAGGGTCCTCACATTTTATCCATGTATCGGTCGTGAATGAACCACATCTGGCAGTGAGCGTCAAAGACTATGTCCTCTGTCGTGGGGTTGCTGCATGCTTTGAGGTATGGTGTAGCTCGGACTCTTCGCCAGGGGATCATGCAATTCCGTCCGAGCATCGAGGTGGAGATTCTGGATCTGTAAGCACAGTTCGTCGCTGCCTGATTCGACCTACCTGTCCATTAAAAAGACCGACCAAAACGTCTGTACACGTACGCTCTTGTCAATGTCTGAAGGTGGCCCGACCTGCATGACATTCTCGAGAGAGCTCACGTGCAGCCCGAGGTGAACTACAAGACTCGCCGCCATGGCTGAGACGTTAGCTTGTGTGTGTCAGATGGCGGATACGTACAATTATACAGCCATGCATTGTTCTCATTCTCCAGCGCAAGCTCCCGCCAAGTCAATATCGCCAGAGCCTGTATCGTCACGACGTTGGGAATTGTGCGGCAACACTTCATCACGATAGCCTCAGCTTGGTCCGCATACATCTGACCCTGTGAATTGGTGAAAAGACTTGCTGCTGCCAGGACTGACGCCTGCAGCAGCTCACGATCAAGACTCTCTGGCGCTCTGAGAGTCTCAATCACTTGATGAGACACAAAATGGTGGACCGAATTGATATGTTGTCGGAACAGGTCGAGTAGCACTTGAACACTCTCTTCTACCTCATGGCTGGTGGACTGAGTCTCAACATGGCCACTAACAGGGAAGCAGAAGCTACCAGACGGACCAACAAAGGAGGTTTCTCCGCCGTGAATGTTCATCCGCCACATCATGGAGCTCACGTCATTGATGGCGGAGCTTTGGCTGTCGTCTACAGTGTGCGCAGGCCCCTCATCTTCTAGACTGCTCGATGCAAAGCCTGGAAGGTTGGCATACCCGCATGCAGCCTCAAGTTTTCGTACGTAGTCTTTGAGGGCAAGGACTTGATCTTCAAGGCTGGACACAAGCTCGGAGTCTCGTTGTTTCCTGTCGAGTTAGCGAGCGCAAGACCAGATTAACTGACATACCTCTTTCTTTCAAGCACATAAACGCATTCAATGCTGTTCTTGACACAAGACGAGCACGGAGAGTTTCCATCACACTGCCATGGTTAGCGCTATAATGAACGAGGTGACAATGACTGACCTTTCGCTTCCTTCTCCGACACGTCTCACAGGCTTTCGCGACTCGGGGCTTGGATTCGGCATTGGGATCTTGGCCTGCATACTGTCGCGTCAGTCCGAATACGCCATCGCTCTCACCATCTGTCGTGCAAGGAAATCCCACGTTTGGGTCCATGAGGTCCATGAGGTCCAAGAATATTGTCGGATCAAGGTGCGATAAGGGAGGGGTCGATGCATTCAACTGATGACTCAGCCGGGTAGATCCCGAAGCTGCGGAAGCGGGAGATAGCGATCATGAGGGAGGCTGAGATAACAATTGAGTCTTTATTGGGATGACTGTTGAATCAAGGCTATCCGATAGTGACAGTTGTCGTCTATTGTGATTGTCTAAAAGTACTTCTGAGTTTGCGCAAAATGCATGCCTGCAGCAAAGTGAAACAGTTTGGCCGCAACAACTGTACGCTCTCTCTTGGAGTACTCAACCAGACGCTCATACAGCTCAGACAAAGGAATGATCTCCCGTTGAATGTGCTCTCCATCGTCGAGTCTCTGCTCCGGCTCTTCATCATTCTCGCCCAAATGAACCTCCACCATTGCCAGTTGCATGTTGGCGTTTGTCATTCCGGGATCAGCAGCTTGCGCGGGACTGACACTCAAAACCTTGCAGTCATAGCCAGTCTCCTCCTTAAATTCACGAACAGCCGCTTCTTCGGCAGTCTCCTCCGCGTCGATGAGTCCAGCGGGCCATTCGATGGTGTAGGCATCGAGAGGGGGTCGGTATTGAATGACTAGTAGAGTAGAAGCGGGCTTTGATGGGTGGAGGAGAATGTTTCCCATGGCTACAGCATCGACGCCGGATTTTCCTCTTGTTTTTCGTGTTGCGACCTCCCATGTTCGTGCCTTTCCGACTTGGTCGACGTACTCAATCTTTTTGAGGGTTATCCACTTTGCCTCATCGACCGGGAGGTCAGAGGTTTTGGTAATGATGGGTTCTTGTGTTTTATGAGACATGGCGAATGATCGGGCAAGAGAGAGACGAGAGCGCAGCTTGAAGCTCTGGCGGAGAGGGTGACGGAGCATGTGCGTGAGTTTGATGAGGGATTGAGTGAGAGAGGTGAGCGGGGAATGGGTGACAGTGGGGTACTGTGTGTATACTGTGTGTCGTCACTCCAAGCTCAACCATCACGACATCCAGTCAGTGTTTTCATTGATGTGTTTGAGTCTTGGTGAATCATTTATTGACCTATCTCAAACTGCTCTACTGTTTGTATATGTAGCATACTGTCTTGTGGGCTCGTTTCGCGGTCCGCACCGTGACTATGAGCTGGTTTAGGGTATTTTCAACAATGAATTTCATCAAAGCTGCTAGAAACAAAACATTGAACTCAAACTCCAAGTTTGAAGCTTTAAGGAAAAGAAAGCTCAAGGAACAGCTTTCAGTCGCTGCTCGCTATCAACTGGCAAAGCTCTCTCTAACCCAAGCAGTCTGGGCCGCTCTCATCAACATAGATACTTTTGAAGATGACTTTGGAACGAAAGATTGTGAGTTTGTCCCGGAACGAGCCAAGGGTATGATGACACTGGATATGGCAAGGCATAATTAAACAGCTTAATAAATTAACGAATTGTTTGTTTACTATATATAAATTGTTATAAGTACTGTACTTAATAACTAAAGTGCAATACTTAAGTCTACCAGGCAAGTATAGTACCATCATAAGTCTGAAAGGTTCCGCCAATCTTCTTTGTGGCCTTGTCAATAATCTTCGCCATAAAAGCAACACTGGTTTCAACAGTAATAAAACCGTAGTCGGAGAGGTTCCCCCCATGTTCCTTCATATTAGCGATAGCGACATCAGTCTCTACAGCGCCAGGATGAATAACAAAGCTAATAAGCCACGGTTCTTCAAAGTGAAGATTGCGAATGAACCAATTTAAGGCAGTCTTGCTGGCGCCATAGGGACTAAAGAACCCAGGAACATCTGCCAAAAATTCCATAGAATTAATAGAACCAGCAATAGACGAGATGGCGACAAATATGGGGCTTCCGGTTTTGCCAGTCTTAAGTAAGTCCAAAGTAGCCTGAAAGAGCACTACTGGACCTACTGCATTTGTTTGAATATGCTCGTTGATGTCCTCGACAGAGGTATCACGGATGCGACATCCATTTTTCGCAATAGCGGCATTGGCAATTACAATATCCAAGGAGCAAATATTATGCTCGTTTTTAATTGTTGCAATAGCTTTGGCAGCATCGGAAGGCACGCTAGAGTCGAGCTTAACGACAACAAGCTTTGAACCATTTCCTTTTGGCAGTTCCTCGAGGGTCTTTGAGGTCGGGTGAGAGGGGTTGCGAACAGCAGCAATAACAGTTGCAGAGGGTCGCGCAAGATAGAATTGAACAAAACCTCTGCCAATGCCCCTATTTGCGCCGGTGATGAGAATGGTAAATGGAGTAGTCATTATGGAGATACAGCAATGATATAATCAGCTTGATGACAGTTGAGATAAGAAGGGATATGTTACAAGGGAAGTTTGTTGTTCTTCTATGTCGTGATAGAGGAATTGTTGAGATATATCCTATATTGTTACTGCTAATTTATATGTCTTATATATATAATGCAGATATAGAATACTATTACCGGTTAGGTAGTAATTCTAAACTCTATTAAAGCCGAATCTAAACTCCATTATCGCTATTTGGTGCATGTATGGGGTAGCGGACTTTGTAACAGTATGGCGGAGTTTTGCTATTAGCTGGAGTGCTAAACTTGAAGTGGAGTAAACTATGTCTTCCAAGCGAAATGAGAAGAACATGTGTAAGAGCCCATGCTTGTGTGATGTATCAGACGAGCTCTATTCCAGCTATGCGACAGCTTGCCGAAATAGCAACACTCCCTTTCTACTTTGTAATCGAGAAAAGGCTACCAGCCGGGTCATTCTATTCTATGAGAGTACCAAAATATACCACTACATACAAGCCTTGCCAAACAGTTAGCACGCAATGCCTTTTCTTTTGGTTGCCAGTACTCTCTTTGCCTTCGGACATTGACTTTTTAGGCAAAGCATTATCGTAACTGGCGTAACAGCTGGTATTGGTCTGGAAATCTGTTACCGACTTCTTAGCTATCGATTATCGAACCTCACAATGGCTGTACGCAACATGTTAGAGTGAAAAAGTACGATAATCCCTCCTCTCGAAACTGGCTATTGGGTCTGCCAATCCCAATGTCACAGCTAGCGTTTTGGAACTTGACCAGGAGTACTACGAGATCGTGCAGCACTTTGCCTCCACATTCACAGCCAGGTTTCAGGATCTGCATGTTCTGATGGCGAATGCAGGAACCGGTACAAACGATAAGGAAGTTGCTAGTTCGGGACACGAGAAGAACACGTAAGTCAACTATCTCTCTAGCGCTCTGCTTACGAGCTCTCTCTCCTCCCTATCCATCAAGCCACAGCGGCCAAGGCTGGAGAATCAACAAGAGCCACTTGGACTGGTAGTCGTCAGTATATCAAGGTTAGCTTGGTCAGAAAGCACCCCTCGAAGAAGGGCGAAAACGAAGTCCTGAAGCACTTTAATACCTCACAGGATATACATACGCTGGACGATATTGATTCAACGCCAACTCTCCAAGCATTACAGTCCTGGCAAGGTTACCACCAATAGCTTCTGTCCTGGCCTGGTTGATACGGGCATGACAGACATGCCATCGTTCCACATCCGCCTGACCATGGGAGTTGTGAAAGCAATGACCGCGCACAAACCGTGTGCAGCGGGATGGGGCTTGTTACGGGTCTTGAAGGTTGTAATGGAGGAGCGCCGTGAATGTTAGTGCACACTAGACCAGGATGGTCGTAAATAATCTCTTCATGCTACCCGGCGTTTGAGGTCTTTGAATTCGTGTTCACTGCCGCGGAAGACACGTTAATGGCAAGTGTTGATGAGATATTCATGTCTGGCAAGTGACACACGCCAAGGCGTATCATCCATGTACATGCGCGCGTCCTCTTGTACTTGAACATGAATGAACCCGTCCCTTATCATATTCTGAGCCATCTTCAGACTACATTCGATAGTGCCCATGACCATTATGCAACATTGCTTTCAGTGATCATCGTTCTATGGACTCAAGCAGTTCGCCGCCTGTCTTCGTTCCATCCAATCCCTGGACCGACTCTTCGAAGCGCTGTTAAGATCGGTGCAACTCTAGCAGCACCTCCTTTCCAAACACAACAACCCCGTGTTCCCAAAAGCTGCCGCACACCAAAGACGCGACTGACCCAAAGCAAGCCTAGTGCGTTTTTTGCGTTTATTGAAATGTGCAGGTTTCCATTAGTCCCCACTATTGAGCCTTTTTCGCTTTCGACCCAAGCAGACTAACACGGCGCTAATGTACCAGGAGACAGTAATTCCGCTAACTCCAGGCACAATGCAGAAGTGCCGGATCTCCAACAGAATGCGAAACCTGCTCGACTCTACTCCCACGATGGTTTTAGTTGTACGTACCCGATAGTGACGTAAGTGTATGCGGATTTCTGGCGGACTTTGGGACGTGAAGCGCATGGACGTGGCTGAGACGACATCTGCCCCATGTTTGAAGCCATCATGCGTTCTCTTTAGTTGAAAGGCTGGATAGTATAAAGGCCATGTAATTTGTTCTGAACCTTGCACTGAACGCAATACAATACAGAGAACATTCGCCTCTACAACATCTTCACCTTTCAGCAGCAACTCAATCCTTGTCACAGTCATGGCTCCTGCATTCAACGCCGAAACTACGGCCAGCGAGCTTGCTTCGTACTACTCGTCGTTCATCGCCGGGAGCACAATCCTCATTACGGGCGCCTCTCCAGGCAGCCTTGGAGAGGGCTTCGTCAAGCACGTCGCCGACGCAGAGCCTGCCACGCTGATCCTAGCCGGCCGTTCCGTCTCCAAGATGCAAGGCCTCATCGACGAGCTAAAGACGACGCACCCGTCTATCCAGGTTAAGCCTCTATCGCTGAACCTGTTGTCACTTTCCGACGTCCGCACTGCCGCCGAGACGGTTAATTCATGGGCCGACGTGCCCCAGATAGACGTCTTGGTCAATAACGCCGGCATCATGGCGGTGCCATTCAGCTTGACCGAGGACGGCTACGAAAGCCAGTTCCAGACCAACCACCTGAGCCACTTTCTCTTGACGAACCTGATTATGGATAAGATTTTGGCCTCTAAGGCGCCCCGTGTCGTCTTTGTCTCAAGCCACGTCCATCGTGTCGGCCACATCCGCTGGACGGACTACAACTTCAACGATGGCAAACATTACCAGCGGTGGCTGTCATACGGCCAATCTAAGACGGCTAATGCCCTTACGGCGCTCGCCCTCGCCGAGAAGCTAGGCTCCAGAGGCCTGCTCAGCTTCGGCATGTGTCCTGGCACGAGCCTGACCAACCTTTCAGCTCATGGAAGCGGCGATTATGCCGCCTTTTCTGCTGATCTCACCCAGATGGATAACATTTACGGCGGAAAGTCACTGTGGGGCATGGCCGACATGAAGTTCAAGACCCCTGACCAGGGCGCAGCGACGCATGTTTTTGCTGCGTTTGATAAGAGCATCGCCGAGCACAATGGTGCTTTCTTGAGCGACTGCCATGTGGCCGACCCTAACTTGGAGGAGGTATATCCGTGGGCGACAAATAAGGCCGATGCAGAAAGGCTGTGGAAACTTAGCGAGAAGCTAGTTGGCCAAGAGTTCAAGTATGGAGCGAGTTTGCTCTAATGGTCGGGCCTTATGTATTTATTCTAGCTGTAGGACAAATATAGGTCTGAAGTTAATAGAAAATGAGAGGAAAATAAAACCACATTGATAACTCTAAGACCCAGGCTGTCTGAGGGTAGGGTGAAGTATAAATAAAAGTTAGAAAAATAGGCTAAAAGAGCAGGCTTATAACTCTATACGATAATATAAAGCTATTAGCTTGAATCATGGCAGTCCATTGCGTCCTAAAGAAGGAGAGGGTCAGACCCAACTACAGAAGGGACTCCCACTCCCACTTCTCGCCATTTCTCATTGTTCACTTTTTCTCATTCTTCACACTGAGCCATCTCTACTCTATAACAAAATGGAATGCCAAGTAACCCCTTTACGGAGGCCAAGACGTCCTGCAGTATCTCCGCGACACAAAAGCTGTTTTATACACTGGAGGACCCCAGGACCATGGTTCGTCAATGCACCCCAATGCAACCCCCCAGATTCTAGTCTTATCGAGTAGACATCCGGAACGAACCATGGTCCGTCAACTATTCCCCGAAATTCGAACCTCATCGAGTACACGTCAGGCATCAAGACCCTAGGGAATATGTCTGGGAACTCAGATACACAAAGTAAGTCTAATTCCGACAAGTGGTAAACATGGCCTAACAAAGTTACCGTCGATTATGTCAACTTTTAATGGAAACGTATCTGAGTTCCCAGGCCATACGAAATACAGGACACAAATGAATATGATATCTGAATATGCTGGACACAAGGCAAAAGAGAAAGGCATCACAAAGTTGATAGCGTTTGAATCGACTTTTGGACTTTTTTAAGTGGTGAAAAGACTTAGGTAAACTTCGGATATTTCTTCAGTATAACCTCGACACTTGATGTAGTATTGAACTTGAGTACTGGCCATCTGGTGAGTCCAGGCTAGCGACTGTCTGTGTAATGATTCACCGGCCTTGAAATGGCGACAAGGCGTTTTAAGTAATGGTAGAGATGGCCTAACGTTCTGCTCGTAATAGCTGACAATAGAGAGGCAGATCCCTACCTTTGCACATGGGGACGCGATACGATGCTTATGAGTCACCTGTTTCAATGTCAATATGTTACCAGGAGTTACCAGGCAGGAGATTCTTTGACAAATCTCAATGAATCACGAGCTAGTTAAGGAGAGATGTGAATAGCACATTGACATAAGGTGAATATACCTCGATGTCCATGATTTTCTTGTCCCAAAACTCCCACGTGACGTGGCACTTGATGTCAGTAATTCAGCGGCCTCTTGAGCTAGGACCAGTGCTCTGCATCACGTACTCTGACTCCGCTGTTCGTTTGTGTCTCTTCCAGCCAGTCTTCATTTTCTTTTCCACTGCTAAACCGTTATCAACATCCCTGTCGCTGCAATGAGTTCCCAGCGAGATACCTTCGATCCGGCCAACGTGCCGAGACCTGAGAACATGGATGCGCGCCGTCGATATATCGACCAATATATCCAGCATTTTCACAGTGGCTTGGTCCCTGAGATTGAGGAGGCGCGCAAAGCGGCATTTTTTCTTGTATGTCGAAAGTATCACGAAGAGCGTCATATAATTGAGGCCCCTGCCTCGTATTTTGAGTACGCAATCGACAAGACGCTGTGGCGTAACATCTGTGAGTTATTCGTTTCATAATACGGCAGTTCTAACGTTCGACAGTCTTGCTCGACAGACAGGCTCCCGCGTGGCCTTGGAGTAAAGGGCCCGATATGGACGATATCAGCGCCGGCATGTCGGGAGCCTACAGGGAATGGCGCATCGAAAAGGGGTTGCCTGTCAACGTGTCTCCCCAAGCAGACCAACAGCGGCCTCAAGACCTCAAGTTACTGCTCGCAAATGCCCGACAGGAAGTCGAGCGCCTCAATGTGCATCTCCGGGATGTCAAGACCCTTCACCAAGAGTTGAAGGAGGCCATGCAGGGCTGGCTCAACGAAAAAGACGCCCTCCTGAGGTCAAAGGATCAGGAGATTCAACGACTGCGCATGGAAGGCAGAAACTCGGGGGGACCTCGACAACGCCTGACCTCGGCCAACAGACGAACCCAGTCGCTGGGCATGCAGCTCGCAGCCGTCAAGGAGGAGGCTACCACCCAGCGTCGAAAGCTGGAGACCGCTAATTCTCGTATCACCCATCTTGAGAATCAGCTTACCGAAAGTCCTGGCGTCCAGGCTCTTGAGATTCAATTGGCCAGGGCCAATACAAGGGCCTCCAATGCCGAGGATGAAAACAGACACCAGGGACATTTGCGTGATGCAAACACTCAACTCGCCGGCATTCAGACTCAACCCCCTGGTTAACAGCAGCTATTACTTTGGATCACTGAAGGCCGTCTTGGAGAACTTGCCAGTATATACGCTTAGCTTGCGCGCAAGCTGCTAGATTTGCCGGTCTTACCCTAAGGCCTTTAAAACTTTAATAGAAAAAGGAACTTATATACTTACCTAACTTATAAACTTATTAACTATATTAAGTTTATAGTGTTAATTCAATAAAATACTAATAATAATATAAAAAAATAATATTAATTAATTTTATTAAATATCTTTTTTTTTAATAGAAATTAAATAATTAAGTTTATTTTTAATTTATAATAAAAAAAAGATCTTTAAAAAAAAAATAAACTTAATTTAAGGTTATAGAGTAATAGTTAAGTATTATTTATAAGCTTTTTTTATATTTTTATTATTATTTATACAATATTTAAATTATTTCTTTATATATATATTATTATCATAAAAGCTATTTTTAATAAATATTATAACCCTCATAGTTATATTATATATATCCTGTAATTATCTCTATTATTACTATAAATTATAAGTAAATTAAAGGCTTATAATATATTACATTAATTAAATAAGAATAAAATTTCTATTAAATTACTTAACTACTCTAAATATCCCTAGCTTCTTATAACACTACTATGCACTTTTACTGGCTTTTCTATTTACCAAAGATTTCCTTATATCCAAGCCATTTACATGTTGTAATATCGGATCCCATCTTGCAATCAGTTAAGTTCTTCTTCCCACTCGGGTAAAGAGGATTAGCCTCAACAACAATGCCATGCTCCTGTAGTGATATCTCCACATTCGCTTCCGATACAGCCCTAATGTTAGTAAATGACAATTTACCAAAGTCTGGGAACAGAGTGTTGTGGTTATTACGCGTCATAAAGCTCTCAATAATCCAGTCTGCATGATTTGTACACAAGGTCCCATTTACAGGGGCCTTTAAATCTGTTGTAAACCTACTATAATTAGAGGCAATTTGTCAACGGATCCTTTATACCAACTTACTTTTTGTTTGAGGTAAAATTCTCCCACGTGAAGGTACCAGTCACGTTATCCTTTTGGGTGATGGTCATGCGCACATGGTCACCAATTGCCGTATTAATGCCCTCCGTATCGTCTAGGAAGATGGGCGGGTTCGGAAACCACTCATAGAAGGCGAAAACACCAAAGTCACCCTGAGGGTCGTACAGGTAGTAATAACCTCCTTGAAGAAGACCTCCATTTTTGATGCGTGCAGGATCGTCACAAGTGTTCTGGTCTCCACCAATTCCGACCCAAACAGAAGAGCTGTAGGTCGCGCTGGCATTGTATCCATCCGGGAAGGTAATATTGGGGATGATGACTTCTGCAGTGATGGATGCAAAGCGTGGACCAGCAACTTCGCCTCCGTTCCAGTTGAAGCTGGGTATCTGTTTCACATCTCGGGACTCATGTTGAGCTCTGCTTTCTAGTAAGAGATTGCGCGAGGCAAGCAGCTTTGACTTTGGCATAGCTAGTATTCCACTGTTTGCTAGTGCGCAAAGCAGCAATGCTTTGCAGAGGAAATTCATTATTGATACGTTCGTTTATGTAATGGTAGAAATAATGAATGATTGTAAAAGGAACACTTCAGAGAAAAAGTTAGGGCAGTAATCCTAGAATATATATTATAGCTCATGAGGGATTAAATCATTATCTCCACCTCCTTCAGGTTGGGAATAAACTTTCCGAGTCTACCTTTAGTTATGCGCTATTAATTCCATTTCGTATTCTAGTCCAGGGGTACCCTTGATTAGAAGTTAACCCGTTATACAAGGTTCCCTACTAATAAGCTATATACAGCCTAATAATTATCTCATAATAAGAAGCGATAGCATAATCTTAAAGCATGTTTAGCATCCCTGGAGATCTTTAAGTAATGCCTCTATAAATAATCTATAATAGTATATTTAATTATACCCTTTCCTTCTATTATATAGAGTAATAGTCCTATTTATTATAATTAAATTAGAATTTAGTGCTTTAGAATCCTAAATAGGTCTTATAGTTAGGTCTTTATTATTAATACTACTACTACTGCTGCTGCTGCTATAAAGATATAATAATTCTAAAGATTAAATAGTAGAGGGATACAGCATAACATGCAATAAATATCCCAACATAAACCATAACATAGTTTGCTCTGCCTCAGCTAGCGACTTTAGCGCCTTTCGAAATATGTTTACTAAGCGGTGGTTTTCTTCACCTGAATTGCCGCGCGGTATGTTGTCGCAATTGCGCCGCTAATGATAAGAATCCTTGACACAGCTGTAACTTTGTTGAATGTCCACTCTTATTCCTGGTAGATCTGGGCGAATATCATGCTGATAACCCACCATAATACGTGGGGTTCTGCGACTGTTAGTGGCTAATAACATGGTGTTCTGGTGCTCGAGTGTTCACACTTGGGCGTCGGTAGCTGGGCAACGCTTGGCAGACAGAAGGGGCTGCTGGTTGGTGAGAAGTGCCAACGAAGGAGTTAGGCCTTTCAGAGGCTTGATAGCCCTCGTACATGAACGAGAGAGATTCTTGAGCCGGTGGTCCCTGTCTTCCTGCTTCTTTCGTCAAGGTGTCAGTGATACTTACTGATGAGCCTCCACTGAGTCACATCGACGTGGTACTCAAAGTAGACCGCTCTGACTTTACGAAGCCCCCGCCCCGCAAGATGCTTGCTCTGAAGCTCGATTGCCTTGGTGTGGGGTTGCTGGATGACACTGCTCGAGATTGGAAGCGTCGCAAAGAAAACGTTTATGTACTGTCGGCGAGCACCAGTATCGAGCGGGTCGGTATCCGCGGAGTCGAGAGTGACGGTGATCTTGGGCATGTTGGAAACTTGTGAAGAAACTTGCTGCGGAGCGATGTGATTTTTAAGAAGAAAGAAGTCTTAGTGTTAAGGATTGTAGAGCACGACTTGGCTTCAGTGGGGCTCATTTTCTGGTGCTTGTTTTTACAGCTCGCCAGTTGTCCCTGAGTTGCGGTCCGCCTCGGATCACCTCCCGAGCCCTTAACCACAGTTCGAACCTCAACTCGGTTCCATTCTCATTGTGATACATGTCACAATTCTCCAGACTTACTGTTCACATTGGAATTCCGTGATATTACGTCATGTCTATAATGAAAGGTGCCAGTTTTGATTAGCTATGGTCATGACACGACGGTTAAAAGCATCTGGGGATAACTACATAAAAGATATAGTCAACAGGTTAAACGAACTTCGCCGCTTCTTAATCTATAGTGAGACTTAAACTTCTTTCGTGTCGTAGACAGTATACTGCAAATACACAACCCTTTTCCTTGATGGCCTTTTGCAGATTCCGACATTGTCGGGATTGAGCTTTCAAGAGACTGGTGAGGATGCGACATAGCCCGTGGAAAGCGAAATGACACCAAATAGCGCAGTAGAAGCCTAAGCACAGTAGTCGTAGCAGTTTCGGACCGCGCTCAGTGATGCCCTGTTAGGGTCCACGGGCAGGATCGACGTGTCGAAGCCGGATTCATCGAACCGCTTCTGAAGTGCCTTGATCGTGTCTCCATTCTCCTCGTAGCAGATGTCCGTGCAGAATTTACCAGTCCAGGGAAAACCCTTCATTGGTTCGTTGTCATCAATATCCCCGGATGAGATAGCTCTTTCGAGGAGATCGTACCACTTGGGAAACCCCTTGCTAACCGCGAGGCGGGGCATATTGGCCCGGTCAAAGACCAGGAGCTCAACCTGTTGTTTCAGAGACATGTTCCGAAACTGGTGGCATTCGTCTACCAAGTGATCGTCCTTGTTGCATATCACGCAACCATAGATCATGCCCTCATCTGCATCCAGACAGTGGCGCAGGGTGTGTGTCTTGCTTTTGCAGTAGACACACTCACTGCTGGGTTGCCGTGAGGCCTCGACCCCGCTGGGTTCACCGAGAGCATTGGACGTGACGTGTCGGGTTCGGCCAGAAGAAGAAGTGACCCTCACGAGCTTCTCTTCATTTTCCATGAAGCTCTTGGCGTCGTTGATCCTGGGCTCCACGCGGTAGGACACCCCTGAGCACTTATTGACCTTCTCCACATGGTCGCCGACTGCTTTCAAGTAATTCGTATCACTGGTGACTCCATGCATACCGCCAAAGCCGGTTGACGCGGGGAAGTGGTAGTGGTGCTGCCCACCTGTACCGAGAGTCTGGTTGACAACAGCGGTGCGAGCAGTTCCATGATGACTGGGGACGAATTCTTGCCCCTCAGCCTCGGGAACGGTGTTCATGGGGACGCGTGGCCCAACACTTGGTGTCTGCCGAGGCTTGGTGATGCCAGTTGGTCTGCTGGCCTGGCGAAAAGTAGAGCGAAGAGCAGATGTGTTGCGATTGCTTGCAACAGAGGGTATTCGGTGACTTTGGGTTTGGCTCTGTGAATCACGACCACCACCACTAGCCTGACCACCACCACTAGCCTGACCACCAGCAAGGAAGGCTGCACGGCTTTGCAGACGCGAAACTTCGCCCTGAACTACTCCCCGGCGTTGCCGTTTCATTGATTCGTCGACTTCGCGTTGAGCCTGACGTTGCCGTTCCATGGCCTCGTCAACTTGACGTTGAGCTTGACGATGTCTGTCTATGGCTTCGTCAACAGCTCGCTGGGCGGCTCCCGCATCCTCATTCTGTGAACCACCCGTTTGACCCCAAGTCGTGCGGCGTGGGCTTCGATCTCGGTCTTCGCGGTGGTTACGGTCACTCTGACGGTGAGGAGGAGCCATGGTGAGTAACGGCAAAGGCCTGGGCGAAAGATGTTCAAAAAGCGTTGTTTTGGGGGCTGTGGCGAGGACTGTGGTGTTGTTTTGCGGATTTCGACTTGCGAGACGGGTGAGAAAATGAGACCAAACGTTCAAGGTTTCTGCCGCCGATCTCGGATAAAATGGTATGATAGGAGCTTTGTCGAGGAATTGCTTCGAAGTAATGCTTTATTGTGATAGAAGAGGATATTTGGTGCTAGGAGCTTCAGAGTCTAACTTCAGGTGAGTCTTGTCTGATCTGTGGTACGACCTTGTCTGCACAGCTCACCTGGTTCCTGAATCAGTGGTCAAAGAAAATAAAAAACCAACAGATATTCCAAGAGGCATGCTAGAATAGCTGGCAGTGGACAACACTTGCCAGCTCTGGCCACTGAATCATCCACGTCCTCGGTTCGTTAGGGCAGAACAGCAGCACAGCGCACAATTAGGATGGGTACATAAACCTCTCTCTTTCTCTCCTCAGCTCAAGTTTCTTCTTTCTTCATCCAACTTCACCAAAACTGTCTGCCCTCGTGCCCAAGCTCTTTCTCTTTCCCAGATCAACCCAACACTCGACTCATTGCCCAACATGTCTGCCAATCAGGACAACACTGGAGGCAACACCTCTAGCTACGAGATCTCTGCCATCATCAGCGATCCCTCCGAAGCCGTCGCGATGTACAAGAAGGTCGTTGAGGCAACTGGTTGCACCACCGTCATCGCGGAGTTCATCCCCGCCCCCGACGACCAGGGTGTTGAGCAGTCTGAGACTGGTACCGTCTCTGGTAAGTCTTGCAATGTCTTCTGTCCGAACCATACTGACTTCCATACAGTCGGCGCTGCCAACCCCAACGTCTCTGTTGAGAACCCCTCCGCCGAGAATTACTCCTCTACCGAGAAGTAGTTCTGGTTCAGCCTTTGGTAAGTCTGGCAATGTCTTCTATTTATGCCATACTAACTTCCCTTCAGTCGATGCTGCCAACTCCGTTGAGAGTTACTTGTGCCTGGGTCAAGCATTAAAGTCTACCATGGTGGAAGATACGGTGATGAGGATTGGGCTGGTGCAAATTGGGGGGTGGAAACGGGAGCTTTAACTGAATACCACACCATTGACGCCCATCTCTTGACTCTAAATCTGTGCTTGATGTTTGATCTATCGTAATATTTGTCCTAAAACTAACTGTGATCTTCACCGCCAGACATTGCTTGACACCTCAATTTTAACCCAAGACTACTTACCCATGAGCTCACTCAAGTTCATTGCTCGATGGACCCTGCTTGACATTATTCACTGATGCACTGAAGGAATAATGGCAGTGCGCATTTGAGTCTAATGTCAAAGTAAACTCGACTCGTGCTGTGTGAATTCCCCTCTTTCTCACTCTTGATTTCCCTTCACTTCAATGGTGTCTAAGGTCATTATCACTATGGAAACGGCAACAAGCAAAGTGACAGGACTTCTCGACCAACTGATCCGTACTTATACGCAATTAAACTTTATCACCCTTGTTGTAAAATGCGCATGCTTCTAATAAACGCCAGCCAAGGCTTCCATCGAATTGACAACCGACCAGACCCACCCCTATTGGTGTCGCTGTTCGATACCCATCCGCCAAATCATCAACCAGACTCATCCCGACAACTAGCTTGACCCATTGCGTCCCCCTTCACCAAGTACCCTCTTGGCAAGATCAGCGACCCATGTTTTACCATCTTTAGCGATGTAGTTCAGGTAGACTGCGTCCAGAGTGGCAGTCTTTTCGTCTTTGGGGAAGTCCGCTGGGAGGTAACCGCGATGATCAAGTTGGATCTGGAGGTCCCGGATATACAGGCCGTAGTTTCGACGGCTCACTTCTTTGGTGAATTTCTTAGACCAAGGGAATCCTACTGGAAACTGTTGTCCCCTGGAGCTGTCGTCCTGTAGCCAACTGTAAAGTAAATCCCACCACGGAACTCTGGTACGCAGTGGGGAGAGGTTGGCACGCCCGTCAACAAAGACACGAACCTTTTTGAGTCAAACTCATGTCTGACATTTTGGCGCAGTCTTCCGTGTTGTGCTGTATGCTGTGACACAGAATGCATCCTGGGAGGTCACCGTTGGGAAGGTCGAGGTGGTTGTCGATCTTGTGTGTCTTCCTTTCACAGAAAGCACACTCGTTCTTATTCACCTGGGAAATCTCCGGGGTCCGTCCCATTCTAACCAAACGTCGACGCCTCGCCACTTCGTTGCTGTGGTCATATTCGGTTCCCATATTATGAGTGTACGCTTGCCGAGGGGTGCTGACGGTAGAGAGACTGCCATCGCGAGTTTGGCTGGAGGGAGCCGTAATAGTGTTGTTGACGTGATTATCCAGGGCCTTGTTCATGACAATTTTCTGAGTGAGCGATGTGGACGTGTGCTTTTGGATTCCACCTCGTCCACGACTGGACTGGCCTCGTCCTCTTCCACGACCACGGTTTCCCCTGCCACATCCGCCGCGACCTCTGCTGAAGCCCATGGCGCCATGAAAGGTACTTCCATGCATAAGGGACGTGTTTTGACCAGGCGAGTTGACGGCATTGCTGGTACCAAAAGCAGGACGCAAAGCGACAGTGGTGTTGGGCTCGGAAACAGCATTGTCGGAAAGGGGCCGGTCTTGCGCATTCTCTGACGTTCTTGGGAGCTCGCTCTGCTCCATAGGAGTGTCTTTGTCGTTTTTGTTTGGCGTCATGTTGATCGAAAGAAAGAGACAAATGCTTTCAAGAAAGGCCGAGAGGACAGGGCTTGCAGTGATATAGAAAACTGCAATGTTTGTTGTTTGGGAGATGTGGGACTTTGACGTTTGCTTTTAGCAAGCTAAAACTTTTGATGTCACACCAAGATGATCAGATTTGTAATATAGGTACCAGAAGACGTCATTTGCAAACCAGTGCCGGCTTAATGTCTACAGTATCAATATAGCCTCCTTCATTCAATGCATTTCTTTCTCACAGTCGAGACTTGTAACTGAGATTGTAAACCAGCAAAGACTCGTAGTTATATTGTTTGCCAACTGATTTGTAACTTTCAGTCAATAAGCTTGCAAGCGCTTGAAGTCTTTGTTCTTAATGGTCCTGCGCAGAATTGAACAAGGGTTTAACATTCGGTAAATGCCTCTACCATTCAAGGCAACATTGGCTGATGTGATGAAGCATTCAGCGAGATCGCAAGCTGACCCTTTACAACATCAGACCTTCTCTCCTTGAGGCATGGCCTGCCACCGCCAACAGCACAGCACTCAGGCCATCCGGGCTCATCTTGCGACCCTGCAGAGCGCGCAGCCTTTGTTTGCCTTATCCCTCCAACCCAACATATTTATATATGAGTGAGTAAAACAGCACGGCAAATTGTTTCGCCAGCTAACACTTGGGAGTATCAGATGAATAAGGCAAAAGCCGGGGACCGAAGTGAGAGTTCGCGGTGGTACCGAGATCACCGACAGACCGTCAGCCCTGAAGACAACGTGCAAGACGCAAGTCCACGAATATAGTCCAACAGCGTAACAGCTCCTACGAATCACATCCAGTCGCTCAAAGAGAGCACCGAAAGGCGATCCCCCCACCCGCTTCCTGCCTCAGACGCACAGCGGTGATTGATTTCTTCTCGCTTGGACCATCGTCAACATAATCGCAGCCACCCGGGGTACTTTTCACGTTTCAAGATATGGGCGTGGAAGATTGTTATTGAGCTATCTCGTTTGCTCCATTCCTCCCACTGCTTCTACCGGCCACAAATCCTCTCGGTCCTTTCCGCCAGACATGGTTGTTGTTGCAGCTTAAAGCTTAGACTTGGACGCCGCAACCATCCCATCGTTGATGTTGGCTGTCAATTCATTAGTATGGTGTGGCAAGAGTAACAACCGATTAACTTACCATGGTTGTTGGGAGTGAGCTTGAAGCGGACACTGGTGGCACCAGTCTTCTCCTTGATGTCGGCGATCAATTTGTCGATGGCGGCACCAGCAGAGGTAGCAGCACCAGGGGCACCAGGATTGACGTTGACTTTAACAATCAGTATGACATGACAACAGTGGATATGATGCGACTTACCAGGCATGTTCGGAGTGATCTTGAAGTTCACATGGGTCGCGCCGGTCTCAGCCATGAGACGGGCGACGAAAGCATCGAGAGAGTCTCCCTCAGCGGGAGCGGCGACGGTGGACTGGCTTGCAGACATTGTAGTGGTAGTGGTAGAGGTAGTGGTAGTGGTAGTGGTAGTGGTAGTGGTAGTGGGAAAGAAAGAAAAACACCAGCACAGGCGATTGTGTTGATGGTGACTGAGGAGAAAAGAAGATCGAGGAGTGAGGGTGGGAGAAGAGCTTTATATACGCATATCCTGCTAAGGTAGGCCTCAGGCCCCAACTGATCTTTTCTTCTATTGTGCTCTGTGTGTTTCTATTGTACCCTATGAATCAGAGTGACTGAATGGTTATCCTTCATCATGTCAGCACCAGGGTAGTGCAGATGCCTGGCACTGGCAGCTCATAATCTTCAACCAGGACTTATTATAAGGGCCAGCTTTATAAGTGGGATTGATTGGAAATGATTAATTATTGATCGAGGTAATGGAAGGGGCTTAATGGAGAATGGGAAATCATGAGATTATTCAGGATTGTGCTTTACCGAATTACATGTATTAACTCGAGTCGACGTTGTAAATGGTTGTGGATTTTTGAGGGCCCAAAAGCACAACAAGCTCTACTGACGGTTGTGTCAATGGGGCGTGGTTACATGTCACAGTGGCTGTCCATAACCACGAAGACTGCATTGAGCTGGGGGTGAACTGCATGAATGCAAAGGGGTTGGCTGTCGTGACCTTGAGTTGGTGATGCTAGGGTTCAACATTATTACTACGGGATCTCCTTTGAGACGTCTGCAAGAAGAGACATGGCTTTGAGGAAGGCCGAGAAACGCTTTGACTTAAAATGTGACTTTAACTGTGACCTTGATGCAGAGTGTCGTCAAGAGGGGGGCGGAGAAAGTCGTGAAGAACGTCATGAAGAGAGTCGTGAAGAACGTCATAAGTGAGATCTTGAAGAATACTCTTGGCGTTTCAGCTCTGATCCAAACGAGTGCAAGACCATACTCTCAAAATAAGTAAGGGTGAGCCTTGGTGCTCAAAGGTTGCAGAGATGCTTTCTCCACATTCAGGCCAGGAGTACAGATATGCTCAAGCCACTATTGGATTTGTTTAACAGTCATGCCGCACCACGTCGATAAAAACACCGTGACATTCTGTATTGGCCAACTCCAAGCAAATGCTTGGTTATTAGAAAGGATGGACAGGACAGGGCCTTTGTAACAGTCAAGTTCTCTCTGCTTGAACTCCCAGCCACAAGTCTCAACTGAAGACAATACACCAGGAAGTCGGATTACAGAATAATTCATAGGAAGTCATCGCAATGCATATGCTTGTGCACCTTCTGACCAACGTGATGGATTTCTTACAATGCCTCTACAGCACGGAACGGACTGAGCCTGAGACAGAGAAAGGGGACATGGTTTGAACCGAGGTGGCTGCTATTCGTGACAAATCATCCCGACCTTTACGTTCTGAACAAATTAGTATTGGTATATAAGGGCCTTCAATTCACAATTCGTCAACATTCCCGTGAAGCGGCTGTCGCCTGGATGTCAGGTGCATTCGGGGGCAGTGGTCTAGCGGAGGCTTGAACCGGTCTTTTTTTGCCTTTTTGACCTCAGGGCCGCAGGTTCGAATTTATTCATAATGGCCATACAACACAGATTATTTTATATTTTGTTTTCAGAGTCATTGAAGTTGTAGAATTAATTCTCTATTGCTAGGTTATACATCTTTCATAATCCTATTTCTTGTCTTCATTTCAGAATGTTTATCTACCTCACGGTGCTGCAGCCCGTCATACCGAGTCCAGACCCGTATTGTCCCTCAACACTGGTTGGTACCGTAAGCAGTGGATAGGAGATATCATGGTGATGGGAGCCAGGCCAGTAACCCTAATGCTCGTCTTGAACAAGGCCAGTAATGCGGCATGCTGACCCTGGTTAATCTTTGCAGAATGGGCTTTGGTGGGCGACGCGTCCCAGTAACCAGAGATAACAGCCTCATCGGAGTCGGACCAACCTCCAGGAGCAGGCCGAGTGATCCTTCTGACAATTCCAGCTGCAGTCGATCCAGCCACCTGCTGACGCCTATCAAACAAGTATCTGGCATGTGCTAGAGCCTCTTCACTTGGGCCATTGTCCTCGTCCTCGTCCTCGTACTCGTCATCGAGGCAAGGGTGTTCATCTTGAGCGGCGCTCGTGGCCCATCGGTTTGGTCGTGTTTCGGTCATCTGTAAGTTCGATATTTCAGTTTGTCTGTATCGTGAATAAATCCTGGAAGGGAATAAAGAAACGTTAAAAGTCTTGGTGGCGGGAAGTAAGGCTGTTGGAAACCTCAAAATTGGAAGACTTGTTAGTTGAATCAGCCCAGGAACAGAGAGTAAGGTGAACATGACTGTTGGAGAGTGGGGCGTGCACTGGCAGACTCTTCTGATCAGAATCCAAGTAAAGCTCATATGGGTCTGGTTTTCTGGTGCCAAGGCTGCCAGTTGCCCTTGAGTCACTGTGGTCGCAAGCCTGCTTTTCTAGTGGACCTCGAGTCTGTCAAACCCGCCTGGGTAAGCTATATCATAATTCAAGCAAGCCTCGGCCCCTCTTAGCACAACCCGACCTCACGTCAACAAATTCACCAAGGCGCAACTGAAAGAACTTCCACAAAGCATCGCCATCTGAACCACGAAGCAAGCCCACAACGACCTTTTGTTAAAGAAACAACTCTTTCTACCGCGATTCACGATGCCCAAAATCAACAACAACAACGGTCAGGATCGACGAAGTCGTCGTCATGATCCCCTGGGTCGAGCTCCTGAGCGTACTGTTAAGAGAGAGGAGTCTCCTCAGCAAGGAATGGATAGTTTGAGTGTGGCTCAATGCGTCAGTCGACCTTCTGAGACACGCTCTTCGACCCCACGAGGAGGACGTCCTGGTCAGCGAGGCCGGGGCGGCTATCCTAATGTGGGCGTGCGAGGCGCACATGGCGGCCACTCGTCAAACAGGCCCAGTAGCTCTATGTACTGGAACCAGCCTCAGCCTGAATCAGAGACCGTGTATAAGTACAGCGAAATGGCCTGGATGACCCGTGTGTGTACCGCGGACGGAGTACCCGCCACCAAACTCACTCCTTCGGGTCCTGCTGGTGGCTTCGGCAACAACTGGTACACGGATACCGCCGACAACGGCCTCTGGATTCATTCAGAGACTGGACTTGGACTCGACAATATGGCCAAGCGGCTCAAGGAAGACAATCCCACAGCTGTCGGCTTCAATATCACAATGTCGGCCATCATCCCCGACAAGTTTGAGGCTATCGAGCGAGACCATACGCAGAAAGTAGTGATGAACAACGACTTTGGGGACAAGGACGGCAAGTCAGTCGGTCTCTTCGGCAGGAACATCCAGGCTCCAAGTGAGAAGAAGCATGTTGTCCCACAATGGTGCAAGCTGTGTGGCAGCAAGTACCACACCTTGACTGACTGCATCATGAGAGGCTACAAAGGACATGTGACTGGCTGCCCGATCTGCAACGAACAGAAACATGCGGTGGACTCGTGTGAGCAGTTCAAGGCAATCAGCCTACAAGAGAAGGTCAAGATCTTGGTTCAACAGCGAGCTAACATGCCTCCTCTCAAGACTTCAACGCCCTGGTGGGAATACCTCCACGAGTTCTGCAACGGAGACGAATTCGTCCCGAATATCGTCTTGGGGTTCCCCTGGTCCCAGAAATTCTGCAGGGACATAGGCTACAAGGGCATGGAGAAGATCCAGGAAGCATTCGACGCCTACCCCGAGCGGTACGTGTTTCCGATTGATCCGAAGACCGCGAGTTTCGGGAAAGTCTTTGAGACTTACTGGGAGCCAGCTGGTATGACTTGGCCCGCGATCCTCGGCCCCCGCATCTAACTCGAAGACGTTGGCAGGCGGGTCATCTAGACTGGGCCGGAAACTTGAATGGTATGTTCTCTTTGGGATTTCTGGATCGATTCTAACAGTATGCAGTTAAGACACCGACGAATGCCTACCATAGCGATAATGGTGAGCAGTTTCTGGACGATGATGGGCATAGGTCGTGATACAAAAGGATATGGGCTCAATGATAGCTGGATCATGTACGAATGGAAAGCTGTTATCTCAGAATACATTGCTGCCGTCATTTGACATACCGGAATGCTCAAGAATATATGCCTGTGTTGAAAATGGTGGCAAATGGTCCAAAAGTCGGATGCATCCTGGGCACCTACAAAGCAGCATGTAATATACCTCAGTGACTACTGATAGGCGCGATATCATTTGGCCTATCCTCTATCCAAGATCCAAGCATCTTTATGTCTTTGCGAGGGTCACTACCAGCCGCTACTGAAAGGCCAAATGGATTGCTGTCGGTCATTGACTACATTTGAAGAGTCAGGAATTGTAAGGTCACAGCGAAATGAAGGGCAAGGTCCAGGGAGTCATGCAATCGCCAGAGGAAATCAAGTAGAATAAGCTTTGCTTATAGACGCAAAAAGACTTGTGCATACTTCACAAAGTACAAATAGATGTGATGGACAACGGCAGTGTGATTTGAAGGTGAAAACAGTTTGACTAAGGGAGCTGGCGTCGTTTACTTGATTGTCCATATTAGTTGAATACAGGTGCATGGTTTATGCCATTAGTAGCCCGTATCCTCCGCGTACCCCAAGGACAAATATTGCGCTCAGTGATAGAAGCCTGTCGGCGGGATATGACGTTCCTAGGAGCATAGAAACTTGGCTGCCTGATGACAAGCTACACTTTCCTTTGGTTATGTCTTTCCACCTGAAACTAGATCGCCATGTGATGCGGTCCCCAAGCCCAGATAAGCGCCTCCTGGATGGTTCTTTCATCTGTGGTACTAGACACCCAGATCTCTCGTGCAGCTCGAACTCGCTCGTCGGACTCCGACTCGGGGCCTCCGTTGACAACCCAGCGGCTAAGTTCGGCTTTGGCTTCGGGCAAGGGCTTCTCAATGATCTCCAAAACATCATCACGACATTTGGCCATGAAGTTTCGGTTCTCATGTGCGCCCCTCATGAAATATATTGGCTCGTCTTGGACTTCGGCATATGCTTCTCTGGCCCGAGCAGTCAACCTCTGGTTATGGTAGGGCATGTCGTCAGCAACAGGCATAGCCTTGCGCACGCGCAGAAAGGTCGCGAGCGACATTGTCGCACCATAATAGGTTTCAATCGTCCAATCAACGACGGATTGCCACAGATATCTGATAGAAGAATCGACACCCGTCCTTCCAGGGTTGACACAGGTGGTAGGGCTGAATCCAACAACCAAAGTGAAACAGGCTTCATCATCGTCAATCCATGAGACTGCCAGGTGGGGTGGGACGATTTCATTGTTGATCATGTTGAGGAGGTGGTTGTTCTCTCCAAGAACAAGGTCGTAGACATCGATCCATAGTGGGAGTGCGATCTGGAACGGACCAGTGATGGGAGCCACAGCTTCACGGGGATAGTTGTTATCTTTCCCCCAAACTTCCTTCCGCTGGTCCAGAGACGGCACTCCCGGTTTTTCGTGAAGAATGTGATAACTGGCGTTGTAGATGCGGAGGCCACGGTCCAGACGCCATTTCTGGTAGGTTGGCGAGATACCCTCTGCGATCTTTTCGGGTGCATCAAATTTAGATGGCATGGTGAAGGGCCATCCAACAGCTTCGACGGGAAGTTCGTTGACTGTCTTTTGTCAGTTTAGCAACTAGTTTTCACATCCAAAGACTTACAGAGCATTTGCCAGGCGACACGATCTGCTTCGTACTCTAGCCAGTTGTGGCTGACTTGGGTAAGGCCTTTGGCTTTGAGGGCTTTCATGAGCTGCTCAAAAGCCTTCTTCACGCAGTCGTCCCATTTGGCGGTTGCATCGTTGCCAACGTACTCGAGGTAATCAGAAATGAAACTGCGTCGTGAATCGATGAACCATACGATATATCGCGAAGGGTCGGGGGGTTCTGACACCATGGCGGAGAAAAGGCTTGAATAATTCAACAGGCGATTCTCTGTTGTGGGAAGAGGAACTTAAGGAATGCAGGAGAGAAAGGTGGGTTTGAATCTGGTGAAAAGCGGTGTGGCTGGTAAGATTCTCTGTACTCTGATTCAGGGACCATCCTGTGTCACTGGCAAATATCGGCAGCCAGTACTAAATCTGGTGACAAAGTCCATTGTCTTCAACCTTACAAACTCAACCTACCACTTCTTTTTCTATAGACCAGACCAACGACTTGGGTGCGGATGGCGATTGATTCAAGGAACAACTTGAAGCAGCGCATGCGATTTGGTAACATAGATGAAAGGACTTGTAATGCCTCAAAGATAAGTAGCAAATGAACGAGGTTGCACTGAAAGGGCAGGACCAACAAAAACAAGGACTTCAAGCGCTTGCAAGCGTAGTGAGTGACCTGTACAGTACCTGCACTACCAAACTGTGCTACAAGTTTGCGATAGAAACATTCGTTCTAAGTGCACTGTTGAGGGTAACCAATCGAGTCGGGCCCACTCTCATGGGCCAGTGTTCTTCAGGCCCTTGGCTCAAGAGGCACACAACAAGCTCAATCCACCCATTCTCATGCATTCGACACCCAGTCGAACCCTCAACTGGCTCTCTACGCGCAAAACCGCCGAGATTGACTACAAAAAATCATCCGGTTTCTGCTTGATGCGCAATCCACAATCACGACGCGGTCAAACAAATCTATCGACACGCGCGCAAATCACGCGACGGTCCAAGCAAGACAAGCGGAGCTCACACAGCCCAAAGCATCGCTCTGTTTTGCTGCCGAAAACACCAAAGGTGAGTGATTTGGCAATATTTGCGCAGAGAACTGACATTTGATTCTTAGACATACATTCAAGCGAAGCGACGCGTCAAAGTCCGAGACGGTCTACTGTCACCCCTCACGAAGCCCAACAATGCCCTACTCTCCCTTCCGATACCGACCTCTTCCGATGTGACCCTCCCACACGCTGTTCTCAGGGACCACGCGGCGTCTCAGTCGACCTGTTAGTGGCGCAGTCCACCTCGTGTATGTGGATCGTGGACAAGGGCTGCATGGGATTGCCTATTCCAGATGGCATGAATTACGCAATTGGTCACATCAGAACCTTGTCTCAGCCAAGGCAACGGCTTCTCAACCTTCTCCAACACAGCCACCATTCGCGGACTACCGTCGAAGAGGCATATTGTCGTCTCCCCCAAAAGCACAATCCACACCATGGGTCTCAACGCAATAACGGCGTCTTACCATGTTTTACAGCTTGTGGCATGTGCTTGCATGTTTGATCCCACAACAAGGCCGATTTCTGCAATTGATGGTCACATGAGATTGCGACATCATTTGTTGAGTATGTTTCATGAAATTGTTAACATTTTGCCAACCATGCTTGCCAGGAGCTCGCTTACAAGTGAATTTCAGCCTCCCATCTTCAGAACTTGATCAAACCTTTCAGCTATCAACGGCGCAATCCATTTGGTCTTTGTCATGACGCGTCATGGTCATGGCAAGCATATGAAGATGCATGAAAACAAGGGCTTGTGACGGAAGAAAGGTCACATGATTCTGCCTATAAATGATCCCTTTCCCTCCCTCCTCCTTCACTCATTCATCTCAAAGTGCGATCATGGTAATCAACCATGTCTCTCTTGATATATATACAACTTCTCTTATCTATTACACCAAGACGTCCGCTACAGTGCCCAGTCACATGAACCCAAGACTGTTAAACTATAGGTGAGCACTTTGATGAGACTGGTTTCCATCTCTTTTCCATCTCTTTGCATCATCAGATCAAGCTGACCATCAGCCAGAGAACGTGTGCATGAGCATGGCTGTCATTCGAGTGAGTGCCAAGCCCAACTTGATACGGGCATGCACCCTTCATGATCTCCCAAACATACACATTTATACGAGTAAGTTACCAAGCCCACCAAAGTTCATGACTGACAATTGACCACATCAGATTATCGCTGGACCCCATATATCCGACATTCGTGCATCGCCTGATGGATACGCTGTGAGTCCTTCAAGGGTTAGTTTTATCGCGGAAAATGTCAAGACAACACCATCGGAGGATACTGACAACAACTGAGTCACAGAGCACGCCTCCGCCACCCCAAACCGGTCATCCCGACCCTGTTATTGCCATTTCCTTCAACCGCTACACATGATGACACTACGCTCCTGTCATGTACGGACTCACCTTTGAACCCTGTCGTAACCTCATCCAGCGTCAGGAACGGCTTCATTATGGCACTGTCCCAAATCGAAACCGCAACCTCTCCATTGCTCTTCAAGGCCGCTCACACCGGAGTGGCCATCGCCGCGACTATCGGAGAATTCTCTGCGAATAAGAGATTTTGATCCGTTACTAGTTGTATGGTATTGACAACCGTATAGACCAAGTTGAGCTGCCACCAACACTTATTGGTAAGTATCACCGACAATGCACTCTACTTAACTGCGCTAATTACTTTAGTAATATATATTATAATCACCAAGAACAACCCATGGCCTTGGAACGTCTCAATCGATGAGAGTGACCTGTCACAGGGCGCCTCCTGTTTTCAGGGATTGATGCCAGTCTCGAGAACTTGGTGGAGAGACTCAAGAGTGCATCAGCAACCGCCAATCCCTGGTCATTCCCTGCTCGGAACAAGCTTTCGTCCCTGAAAAACTTGCTGAGGCTAAGCAGATGGCCGTTGAAAAACGCGGAATGGCCAACAGGGTCGAACTTGAGGCCTTGCGTTTTGAGCGCGTCATCAGAAATTGGCCTGTCGACTCATCGCCCCACGACTCCGCCGCTGATCGGTTCCCTCTTGTTAGTTAAGGAATTCTACTACGAACCGCAGGCTACCCACACCACGGCGATCGAGTTTCAGGGTGAGCACCTGTTTGGAAAGGGCCTCAGCAACGTCAACGTGTCTTACTTTGAGTACCACGTCGATATGACTCAATGGAGGCTCATCAGTAAGTATCACTAATATAATCCATACCTTGGTTTGTGCTAATTATCATAGCGAAACGTCTCATGACCAAGAACAACCCGTGGCCTTGGAATGTCTGAGTTGATGAGCGTGACTTGTCACAGGGCGCCTCTCCTGTTTTCAGGGATTGGTTCGGTAACCGCCAACAGGCCACTCCACGCTCGCAGCACCAAGGCCCTGTCCTCAGACTCGTGCTGAGGCTGAGGAAAGGTCTTTGAAACAAGCCAACAAACTCGACATTGAGGGCTTCCATCTCGGGCGTATCGCTAGACAGTGGTCTCCGAAGATGAGGCACAGCCCCAGGCTCGTCACTTTCCGCGACTTCGGCGACATACAGCCTCAGGATGCGGCAGCCGCCCATTACGCAGTCTACCGAGGCATGTAATGGTAACGGCAGCGAGTAGCGCAGCTTGAAGCTGCTCGTCTGCGACACCAAGCAAGCTCCCTGGCCGGTGGCTCACATCATCAACTAAGCGTCTACCAAGGAACCTCTATGCAGGCGCTCGGTCAATTGGGACACAGGGGCTTTTTCTGTCCCCCTCAGGTCATCGGACATCGACCTCGTTGACGAAGATGCTCGACAACAGTGGATAATCAACTGCCAGGCAGAGGGAGCTTATAATGAGAGCATTCTGGAAGCGAGCTATTAGCACCGAGAGGAATGATCCGCACGCAGTATCTCTGTTCACGAAGACGTCACTCAAGTCGGCCATCTGTATTTTTTCATATCGACAAGGCTGTTTGGCAAGAGACTCATCAACTGGTATCCTAAAGTAGGCGGGTGGCCAAAGAAGAACTCACTTCTCAGCTTTTGTGGGCTCATCACTTGACCCCGAGTCAATTTCACAACTACACAGAACACGCTTGCATCGAAACATGGATTGGCAGCAACAAACGCTCCAATGTCCGGCGACGGCATGTCGAGAATACCCAGCTAGGAGGCTTCATCACAGCCGTCGTCGATCTCTCATCTTGGGCATTAGACATTGGACAATAGTTGGACAGATCTCTATGCTCTGATAAGCATGGTCAAAGGACACCCATTACGAGCTTTCTTCTATTCAACGCAGCATTCCGACAGACCTTAGACTCATCTTGAGGATTCGGCGTACACTGCTTCATTCGATACCCGATACGAATTGATAGAGTTGCTCTCTCCTCCTTTGCCACTCTGGTTGAAGGAGAAAATCCAATCTTGCGTGTCGCCTGGCATCCATTTGGCAATGAGCCGGAAGAGGTCGACCAACCAACCAAGTCCACGAGGAAGTTGATCGAAGGGCTTTCTTCCAAGGGTTTCTCATCCGACGAGTCAAACTTCAGATAACTGGCATGGACGTTTCACTTTCCATGGACTACCAACGAATGGGGCCATATCAACACGTCATCACCAAAGCCGAATCATCCGAAGGCTGTGATTCACCGATATACGACCGTCTCTCCACTGCGTCCTGCATGCCGAGGGAGTACATTTGTTTGCCAGGAGTCCATTCACCATCACCGACAGCTAAGCTATGCTTTTATGACAAGCCCATCACCCCCAGTTTTAATCCCAACAATTTTACCAGCATGAAGTTAAAGCGATTCTTTAAGGCCTTTTTATTATATAAACCTAATTGTAAGGTCGCTGAGTCCTTTAGCATATCTCTCAATCCGAATAACCTCTGAACAATCTCCCCAAATGCGCCATTTACCCGTCCGAAGATAAGGCCACCCGAGCGCTTGGGTCTGATGATCTAATCAGTAACAGGACCAGATTTAACACGAACTGGGATCCCCTGGTGCCGAACTGTGTCAAGGATAGTTTGAGCCGTGCCGGGATGATGAACCGATGATAGAAGTACAAAGATGCTCATTTGATTCGGTGGACATAACTTCGACACGACGTGCATAAGTGGTTCAACAGGGAGCCATGCCGTTGTATTAACGATGGTTTACATTGCCCAATTGGGACAGGATGATGCCCACCATTGGACAGGCTTCTAAGCTTATAACCTTGTTTATGAATTGTCAGGCGTCTATGTCGAAGCACCTTCCCCGCTCATGTGGTGCCGGGCATGGCTTGCAGTGTTCAGAGACTCTCAGACCATTTGGACCAATTGCGACGGGACCTCCAAATGGATGGGGTATTGGCAAGAGGAGGCGAGAATATTATTGCCATTGTCAATTTATGTATGTAAACGAGACAGGTCAAAGGAGTATTATTAGAGAGAAGAATGTTGAGTATAACTCTGTGGCTGTTGCTTAGGCACCGCAAACGTCTTGAACACGACAAGATTGAGGCGGGACGAAGATATAATCTCAGACCAAGAAAGGCCTAGTTTGTAGTACAATGGGTCCCTTATTACTATCGCGGCCTATGAATGGAGTAAAAGATCTTGTACCATTGTTTTCCTCTCAATATCTGAGAATGCCCACATCTCTTTCATTGGTATCCTTTGCCATGACTGCTTACTCGGCTAAACGTCGGCATTTCATGTTGAGTTTGCTCGAGCCACCTGAGCCTCAGCATTCAGCCATCTACTCGCAGTCACCAGGTCCTCCACAAGAGCGAGCCACGTATCATGCAACCCGAGCAGCGTTCTATCCTGCCAGCACATGCTTTTTGTGGCAATTTTTCCTATCTTCAACACAACTCAGACTTCCTCAAACGATGCCACGCGACCAAGATTTCCGCGGTCTCTGTTCTTGTGGACCCGGAGAGTCAAATGAATCAACAACATCGAAAGACTGAGCCTCTGATGGCATCAAGGCGATACGGCTGAATGGCCGGGAAGTTTGCCTCTCCGACTCCATCTCGCGTCTACCTACAAGGAAGACGCAGCAGAGAAGCAGCCTCACGTCTCACGGGGTGGGTGAATATAATCGGAACTTGCTTAGCTTGACTGATATCGACAGGAGCTTCAATATGTAGTCGTTATCCGGCGAAACCTGCGCCCTCCTTATCACTGAGTCAAAGGATCGTCACCTCTCCTGGCCCATGCCCCACGTTGATTATTGAGACGGCCACCCGATCAAAACAACTCTAGTTCAACAGGCCTTCGTTCCCGTATTGATGAGCATCAAAGGGAGTCCTCCGACTGAAACGCCATCTTACACAAACCCGTGATAAGGTTCGCTGTGACCTGTCTCTCACTGTTGCCGAGCGGCCAACGCAAAGCACTATCCACCTCATCATAAAGGCATCTACCACCACAGTTTTGTCACTACCTATCCGACTTATGTAGCGCGCTCGCACTTCAATCACAGCAAAACCGTGGTGTAAAGCAGCCGAGAGAACCTCGAATCACTAATCCCATACGAGCTTCGTCACCATGGCACCGAAATTGAAGAGGCAAGGGGGGTAGATGGGAATAGCATGTCATGCTCAGTCACAATCCCTGAACAGGTATGATAAATATCTCGCAACTCCAGACATCATCAACAAGGTGCAACTGAACTGACTCGAGGAAGTGTTTGGAGCTGTGCACCCCAGACATCGAAGAACACACAGTACAGCTCTCAAATTCGGGCTTGTCTCCAATTTGGGGCATTGGGTCCAGACACCGGAGTGGCTGTAGCATCATACACATCACCAATCGGTTGAGAGACTAGAATGATAACGCTCGCCCCAATAGATAGGGCGGAGAGGGGACACTGACTTTCGAAGCTTCTGCAGTGCACTCTTTTACCAGAGTCTTTTCGATTCACAAACAGCGACATGTTACGTTCGGCCATCTCAGCATCAACAAATGTCATTTTCATCTACACCGGAACTAATGTACTGATTCGCCCTGGAAGCAACGTCTCATCACTTCCCTGACTTCCTCACGCCAGTTTTTGCTTTCCTCGATTTCACTTTCAGCAAACCCATCACCGACTCAATCTCCACCAGTACCGTCTCCTTTACTCCGATACCATGCCTTTGACATTGTTTTACCTTCCTCATCCTCTCTCGCCCTGTTTAACTGTCGGTCGTTCATTTCGCTCAACTGAATTCCGGATGCTGCTGCTAGAGCTAGATTAAATCTGTCGGGCTTGGAGTTCAGAGTCACCCCTCTGGTCTTGAGTGCCAGTAACTGCAACCAAAATGCGCGTCGCCTTCTCAAGAAAACATCATTGTAGGTAATGCGCTCCAGAACTGACTGATCTCCATGCCTCTAACTTCATATCCAGTGCCTTGGATCCTGGCTCGAGATCTACGGACATTTCGAATGCCTCAGCTTTGTGCAATCTTTCATCACACTGTGACGCGGTATCCATTGGAACATAGCGACACTCGTATCGCATCATGATGCCAGCCGAATTGCGAAAACACAGCAATTAGACGATGCCCAGCAGACACAGATGTCGGAAGTACCACAGGAACGGAGGCGTGCCTCATTCAGAGGCAAGACATCTCACAACATCTCAGCCAAATCACAATTGGGAACGTTTGCCACCTCTTGTTTTTGACCTTGGGCTCCAGTTCTGAACAGGCAAATCAGGCTGGATTCAGTATCTTCGGTGCAATTGCAGAGTCCCCGCCATTCCGCCTTTCCTCAGGTCCCTGCAAGCTGAGCTTGCATTTGCCCCCTTTGTGACAACTAGTCATGGGGCATGTTGAGCATACAGAATACCGTCAAAGTCACAATAGATTCGGTTACCTGAGTCGAGTCTTTTATTCTAATCATCTCGAGATACAGAAGCAGTCGCCAAAAGGTTTCCGGGCTGTCAAGATACAATTGTCGACCCATCAGACAGTCACCACCATTGGTCGAGTTGCAGCCATCGCGGTATGAGGGTTCAGTGTTCCCCATCGGTGAGATTGGAGAACGCCCTTTTGTTCAAGTGTCTAACCTTAGTTGGCTCGAGCAGATTCCTCCCCATTGGCGAGGCAAAATGTCCATACTGACACAGCGAATGGTTCACCCCGAGCCTCGTCACGGCAAGCACCAAGAAACGCCCTATAGTTGTAACATTGACGAAAGAGAGAGCCACATGGCCGCCAAAACGTCCAGGTCATTCCGGTGCATTGAGAATTTTAGGGCTCAAGGTCGATCATTACTTGAGACTTGGAGACCGAGAGACTTTATTGGGAGGAGGTTTTCGAGGCTCCCTTGCA